ATGGCAAAAGGAAAAGAAAGAAATGGAGTAATACTTCAGGGTCAGTTCGCCATGCATATTACTCACCAAACACTTTTTCTCAAGATAAATAATGGGAGTGGAGAGGGAGAGTGAAAAGTAAAAGGAAAGTCCAACGAACGTCCTTTTGTACTTGTACATGTAGGATTGTGAAAAAGAGCCACCACTAAAAGAGTTCACAGAAATCATAAAATATAATTGATTATAATTTGGGAAAAACTCCTAAAAGCACAGCACCAAAACCAAATAAATCTCCATGACCTGAAATGCAATAACATTTTCATAATTTCAATATGGGTGACAAGCTACACATACCAAACCTCTCCCCTCTCTGAAGCTGCACTTTTTTAAGCAGGAAAAGCAAGAGAAAACGCACTGAAAACCACCCCCCACAAGCCCTTCTTTCTTCTGTGTCTCACTACAGCACAAGCAGGATTTTCATGATTTGTCCCAGCTGATACATTCATTTCTCCCACATTGAGAGCCTTAACTGAGGAACTGAAACAGACAACAACAAGCTCAAAAACCTCCACTCAGTGAAGAGGACAGCCTCACCAAAGCCTCTCATTGCCATGGAGTTGATGTGAGCAGCTGATGTGACCCACAGGCACTGTAAGGCTGGGTAGTGGGCACACCCCAGGCACCAACAAATGAAGACCAGAAACAGCTCTCGTGCCCGATGGACACCCCCCAGGTGCCTGCCAAACAAGGTGGCAAGGGCTGTTTGTTGCCCCTTGGGTTGAGTGAGCTGACCTGCAAGCTGGAAGCCCAGAGGGGTACAAACCTCCTCACACCACCAGCCCGGCATAGGCAAAGCCTGACCAATGGACCAAGCTCTCAGATGTATTCATGGAATGTGGATAATGCCCTTAGCAGCTAGGAATGAGGAGCCTGATTCCCACTACTACTGCCTTATACCACACCATCTCCTCAACACTGGTTGTGCTGCTTCTAGGAAACTCCCCCCTCCCAACAGATTATCAAAATACTTTATTTGGCATGTTGTTCATGATAGAATCTTTATTGGCATCTTCCTGTATTGCGAGACAGGAAGATAAAATAATTACTGCTTTCTATTGAAGGAATAAACTTTTCCACAGCTTGATAACAAAAATTTCATGTGAGCTTCCCATGCTTCCATAATTCTTATCTTAATAGTTTTCTGGATTTTCTTTTTCTTTCTTAACCTCCATTGGAAAATTATGCTGAATTATAAAAAAATAAAATACACTAAAAAACCCCACAGATATATAAATGACATTTGAGTGAACAGAAGATACAATTCTGCTTTAAAAAACAGTCTATTGGTTCATGGTTTTGTTCAGCACACACACCAATGACAGGACAAATGATTTGTGAAAAAGTGGCAACCATCATTCGACAAAATGGGTGTTCTAGTGCAAAGGCAAAATCAGGTCCCTTGGGCTTGCTTAAATATGATAGAAGATTAGAACTTCCAAGACTTGATTTTCACAAACGGGAGGTTTGGATGCACAATAAACTTAGCTCTGAATCCCAGTTACATAGGGATCCTCCCGTGGTTTGGGGTTTTTTTTTAGACAGTGGAGTAGGAAGGAATATGTCTCTTCTTCTTCCCATCCCCCACAGTTAGATGAAAATAATTTAAGTACTAGACATATTTATTCTTAAAATTAAGAACATCAGTAACAGTGGCCACAGTCCCCTGAGGCCCACCAGTTTGCATTGACCTCAGCACGCACATTTTACTCCAAAATCAAATAAAAAATTTATAACTCCTCAACTAATTTTATCCAGTAATGAGTTCACTAATGGCTCTGTAAGTCTGCAAACAGCCTGAAGGAAAATCTAAAGCCACGAGTAAAAGACCTTTTCAAGCTGACAAGCCACAGCTGCGGAAAGTCAGCAACATTCCCAGAAGTGCTTAGTCTTTTCAAAACCTGAAACTTAGCAACAAATCATGTTCTTTGCAATCATGTACCTACCCAGGAATACTGATATTAAGGTGGAGGTTAATATGCAATACCAAAATAGCTGCTTCTCTAGCAATAAATTTGACCAGGTCAGGAGACAATTGGAATTTTAAATTTAAACTTGTTTAGTGAACCTATCCTTGGAAAATATACTGAAAATAATTATGGACTATGTTCAAAATAAATAAATAGATCGATGAATGCTAGACAAATAGATAAATTACTGGTGCCTTTCAGTTGCAATTTGCAATTTGCAATATTGCAATTTGCAATAGCATATTTCTGAAACCAGTGTGGAAAACAGCAAACATTAGCACTAATGCCCTGCACTAGACATCTTTCCCAAAGTCACGTATTTGTAATTTTACTTAGTCAAATTATTTACATGGTAAAGCTAACATATCTCTTACTAAAACAAATAGCCCTATAAATTTTCAAGGTATTAAAGAGAAGTGAGATGCCTAACATCTGGGAAATGCTATAGAAATATTCCAGTTTCATTCTTTCCTCAAAGGTTTTATGCTCTGACACAGTCAAGCTGCAGCTTAAGTCAACTCCAGAGGGAGAGCTCACTATAGCCTGGCATCAACTGCTTTTCATAAAATTGGTCAAACCAGTAGCAGCCACTTGGACTAGGTAAGTCTCAGACTGAATAAACGTTTATACCTTCAAAACTCCTTTCATGAGTCCTTGAGTAAAACGGGCTGTTCAGATGATGTTCATATAATCAGTCCTAAATTCCTTCTTTCAATATTTCAAATTCTTGATATTCAGTTTCTTCTTTAAAAAATAGGCAATTACATCTGTTGAACATAGTTTTCTGAAGACTTGCATTTGAACTTTCTGTATGTAATCTTTTCAGAGAAAAGTAATTATTAAATCACTAAAAGAAGTACTTTGAAAACAAAATGCACAGAATGATTTAAGATATTGTAAAAAGCACATAAAAGATACAGTCAAAGCTTGAATATTTAAGCACCCTCCACACAAAAATACATCAAATAACATATCATAAATCTATGCCACAGTCAGGGTTAGGTCACACAACAGGGAATGGTTGGGATCTAAATACAGTCAGGGCTAAGATCACACCATCTAGCAGACAAGACCCTGAAGAAAAGAGCAAAACTCCTGTTAGCAGTCCAGCATCACTTTTCAGAGTCATGTTCCCATTAATGTGTAAAGCTACCACACTGGCTTCTTCCATCACTCACACTATAAATTGAAGAAATTATCAGTCCTCTGGATGTTTCAGCTAGAAAACAAGCATAACCAAACAGCTAAGGGAATTTGCCTTTAGTTTTACATCCTGACAATTTACTAGCATCTGCATGAAATATCTTATTTTGTGAGCACACATGTGGTGTCATTAGAAATTGGAAGAACCATTTGCCTAGAAGAAAAGTTGATCTTGTGGAAGTGGTTTTGCACGACTGCATCTTTACAGGGCAGCTTTTTCAAATCTTTTGAGTTCTGAAACTGACAGTTTTTGACTGCCAGACCCTAAAACCACCTAATCTTAAATGTGCTTGTATTACACCAGGTGCTATTCCCCCAAAGAATCCCATACCATTCTCTGCCCTGCACACACCAGCAAATTCAAATGTGCACAGAGGGATGTTTTCAGTCAGTATCTGGCAGAAGAAGGAAAAGAAAATAATAAATCAAAAAAAAAAAAAAAAAAAGATGGAAAATTTAAGACACATCTAAGAACTAGATCATGTAGCTACTAGTGAGGCAAAGTCCCTGTCCAGATTAAAGATCTGAACCATCCGCTACATCCAGCCTGGCACATAGCAAGGACAGGTGCTTGCTCTTGTCTGGAGCTGTCTAGATATTGATCGCTGTGCCTTACCCAAACAGAATAGTAGTGATGTGAAATTACTACTAAAGTCAACCTTGTCAAAGCTGAATGGCCAGGAAACACCCTTGCTCTTGATCTGTCAGAATACTTCTGGAGAGAATCTGAAAATGTTTGTTTTTCCTCAGAATAAAACTAACAAGACATGTACACCCAATCCAAAACAGTCTAGTCCGAAGATGAGTGAAGAGAGCTAAGTACCTCCTTGTACATGAATGAAGTGGCACAGTTCCAGTATGAAGAAAGGAAACCATCCTGAGCAGTCAGCTGACATCCTGAGCCAATTCCATATGTTTGCTCCTTGATATACACACCCATTTCTCCCCCACACTTGGAAAAGCACCTCTGTGAGAAGGGAAAGGGGTTCTGGAATCAGCTCTTTGCTCACGTGGAGCCGCAAAAGTGATGTCAAAGTCAAAACTCAAAAAGTATGTCGGGCGGGAGAGGTGAAAGGGATGCTACACAGTCATTTCATACACTATTTTATTCCAAGCCTTTTCACCTGCACCAAAGCATCAGGTTTTGCATTCTGAATTCACCTAGAAAACCACATCTGGCTGCAGCCCTGTCGTTTAGAACACGAGCTTCTACACTAAAACACCTCTCTGAGCCATTCGCTGTCTTTTCTTAATCCTCTTAGGTTTCTCAAGATGATGTACTGAGAGGTGGGGGCGAAGTCTGCAGAAAATCAACAACCTTGCGCTGGTGACCTTATGCCAGCAGCCGGAGGTAACCTTCTACCTGAGCGAGGGGCCTCCTAGCAGTCCCAGCTCCCCCTGCCCACCGAGGGTCGGCTGAGAGCGCGACTGGATGCTCAGACACCAAGTGTCTCTCTTCCGCAACAGTGGCTCCGCAGCACGGCTGTGTTGGGTGGTTTCTTATTTGAGTTTTGTGGTGGGGTTTTTTATTTGTGGTTTTTTTCAGGATTTCCTCCCCGCGGATGAGCGGCTCTTTCCACGCGCACTGCCAAGGTCCATCCTTCCCTCCCTGGCCGCTCACACGGCACTGGGCGTGTAGCCGGGGATCTATGTAACCTCCGCCGGCACGGCACGGCCCCGCCACAGCCACTTCTAGGCGCCCGCGGGGATCCCGTCGGCGCCCGCCGCTTCCTCTCTCCTCTGGGTGCTCCCCGGCCCCGCTGGCGGTCCTTGCCGCCCGGCCCGGGTCCTCGCCGACCTTCCTCCGTGGCGGACGGGGATGCCTCCCCCTCCAGCGGCTGGCCACCCTCCCGCCGCGCCTCGCTGAGGCCGCGGACCGCCGGCCCGTCGGGGAGCACCGCGGCTGCCGGCGAAGAAAGTGAAACTACCTGTCGGCGGCGGAAGCCCCATGGGACTGGCACAGCCCGGCCGTCCCGCAGCCGCCGCTGACAGCGACGCGCCCCCCCCTGACAGGCGGGCGGGGGGCCGTGTCCCGCCCGGCCGCCGCGGCTCCTCTCGCCCACCTGCGCGTTGCCCCGCGGGCCGCAGGCACCATGGGCGAGGCGGTGCCGCCACCATGACCGCGGAGCCGCCGGCGCAGCTCCCTGCCACCCCCCCCCGCGGACCATGTTCCATGGTAAGGAGCGCGCACCGACCGCATCGCGCCCCACCGCGCCGCTCCGCGGGCAGCAAGCATAGCCGCGGGGTGCCGTTGTACCTGCGCTCGGGCTGGGATGGGCTCCTCCCGCGCCGCTCCGCAACTCCGGTCGCGCCGTCTCCTTGCCGTCTCCTTACCGTCTCCAAGCTGACGACCCCGCCGCCTCTCCTCCTGTGCCTGCGAGTTGCCTCCTGGTGCCCTTTTAAACCCGCGGTGACGGCCGCGGAAATTCCCAGTTTTGCATTTCTTTTCTTTTCAGTTTTCCACTTAGAATGAAAGTAAAAGCGCCCGGTTCCCATCCTGCCCGCTGCGGGAAGCGGGACCTGGGAGTGGCGGGACACTGTGGGACAGGCGAGCGGCGCAGAAGCATTGTTTTGGTCCGTGCCGCGCTGCTCACCGCAGCCACCTGTGCTCCCGCCTGAGGTGCCGCGCAGCGCCGGGGATACGTCGCCCTGAGGCCAGGGGATCCCCGTGTCCTCCCGCGGCTGGAGCGACACCTTCACGCGGGTTCAGCGGGGCGGAGGGAAGACAACTGGGTGTTAACCGCGCCCCGCGGACTGCGGAGCGCGGCGCGGAGCAGCGGGGCCGGGCGTCCGAAGCAGCGGGAGGTTCGGAGCGGGGTGGAAGCGACCCCGCAATTGGCGGCGGCCGGGAGCGCGCCTCGGGTGCGTCTGGAGCGCTGCTTCAGGGTCCTTGTACCGGGGGGGGTGGGGGTGGGGGGGGTGGTAATGGTAATCAAAACCTCCAAAGGGGCTTTTTTCTGTTTGGAAATATTGGAATACTGACTGTAACTGGCTCTTCTGGGAGAAATTTGGGGATTTTCCAAACACAGTTTACGAGTTTTCAGGAGTTTCCCGAATGGATTGGGTATTACCAGTAGTGTGCTCGTTCTTTCTTTTGAAGTGCTGGTTGTATGGAGCACTATCGATACCACTTCTTTTGACGTCCAGCTTTGAGAAAATCCCTTTCAATTTTCAGTTGAAAGCTCCTGGAACTTTTTATGACACTCATCTAATGGGTTTCAGAGGACTCGTTTAGGAACAGGTTTCATCGTGATCCTGCAATGGGTCAAGGAAATTAAAGGAGTGTGCAACATCTCTTTCAGAATTACCTGCTTTGATTCTGTATTTTCCTCATTTAAAAAAGTTTCACCATCTGTACAGTACAGAGAAAGCAAAAATGAACAGAAGTGACCTTGCAGTTTTCACCCGTTATCTCCACTTGTTGCTGGGCAGCCCCAGTTTGAAGTGATGGAGTCTGTTAGACTGATTTAAATTTAGAAAATTGTTATTTGTGTCTTTTAAAGAGTTTTGAAGCAGCAGATCCAAGTTGCTTATATCACTGCTCTTTAGAAACAAGCAGTGATGTTCTTTTTTTTGTAAACTTCTTCTAAAATATGAAATCTCATTCCTACAAACTGATCATTTACTCAGCACAGATATAGTTAGCATGGAGATTTACAAAGGTAAAGCTCTATAGAAGTCAGGCTCTTGGAGCTTGAAGACGATTGTAAATTTGCCTTACCTAGCTTTCATATTTATTACATGTAGGATCTACTTAGGATCCATTTAGCTCCTTCAGGTTAGATTTTTTGAGATATTAATAGACCCTGGTTGATCAGTATATGAAAAGGTATAAATGGCATTTAAGATGTACTGAACTGTTCTTGTTGTAATCCAGCCTTTTTTAGATCTATCCTTCGGGTTCTGCCACTGCTTCTTGTTCTGTCTCCAGTGAATTCATCTAGTTGTGCAATGGGAAATAGAACAACTGAAATCCGTGTGAAGTATGAGAATATACTAAGCCACGACATCCATGAGCTGGTAGGTAATAGCTCTTGGGCTTTCAAAAAATGTTGACTATTTTTAGATGCTAGCAAATAATAATACTGAAAAAGCTCTAATGTTAACATACAGTAAAAGACCAGTTTAAGATCACACATTATCACATTGTGGAATGCTGGTGGGTATGATGATGCTGCCTGTCCATGTACAAATGGATGCATGTACAAATACTGTGATATCGGTATTTGTGCCTGTGCATCATCTAGTTAGACAGCTGTACTATTTGGCCATAAATAGTCTAATATATTACATTTTAAAGTACTCTTTTCTGAAGTAATCTCTGTTTACATCTTCTTATCAAAAGGAGAAAGCATTACATAAGCTGTATTTTGTTCTAATTGTAGACTGCTTGACTGAAGTTTTATGGTGTCCATTGAATACAAATGCACAGAGGCACAAAATTCATGCAATCATGTTCAGTCAACAAAGAATCAACCTTTCTAGAAGGCAGCAGAAAAAAAATTATTTTTCAATTGTAAATCTTTAGCTTTATCAGCCACATTTATTACAGCTTTGAAAACAGTATCATAACAGTTTACCAACCCATACCCAAAACATACCTTCCAATTCTTCATCATGAATTATTAACAATTAAATTATCTGTCAAGAACACTTTCATGGGAGAAAGCACGTTCCATAGCTAGATTATCAGAGGCACTTTCTATGAAAATGGGATTTTTCTACCGTTAGTCACTTAAACAAGAACTGACCATTCTCTTGCAGAGAGAGATCTAAATCAAGATCTATTTGCATGAAATACAAGTGATACACGATGCTTTTCCAAAGGAGAAATCAAGAGCTGTTGTATTTCTTCACACTTAAGATCCACCACCATCCTTCAGAGCATTATGGCAGTGGATTATAACCTTTCTCTACCAAAACACATCAGCTCTTCATCTGGAAGCAAAATACCTTTAGGGACAGGGAACGATCATTTAATCTCCAAAAACATTCTGATCACTTTGCGTTTGTTGAGATTATGAAATAAGAACTGTACTTCTCCATCGATAAATGACCTTATCCTGAACAAGGCACCAAAGTTGGGGAAAATATTCATGGCCATATTAGAAAAGATAAGTATCCTCTTTAGTTTGTTATCTTATTTCTAACAAAGGCTGCCCAATTGCAGGATGAAGCTTGATGTACTCAGTGCCCCAGGGTGCCATTCAAGGATTTGAATGGAGCAATGTCATTCTTCCAGATACCTTTGATTATCTATTTTTAATTGTAATAAATCACAAAGTCACAGAATACCAGGTTGGTGGTGATCTCAAAAAATCATCAGGTCCAACCCTTCTAGGCAAAGCATGACCCAGACTAGATGCCCCAGCATCCTGTCCAGGCAAATCTTAAAAGTGACCAATGCTGAGGAATCCACCATGTTCCTAGGGAGATGATTCCAATGGTTGATCTCATTGTGAAAAATTTTCCTGTGTTCAGTCAGAATCTCCCCAGGAGTAACTTGTGCCCAGTACTCCTCCTCTTTTCCATGTGACTCCTTGTAGAAAGGGAATCTCCGTCTTTGTAGCCACCCTTTAAGTACTGGAACATGGTGGTAATGTCTCCCCTGAGCCATTTTTTTCTCCAAGCTGAACAAGCCCAGCTCTCTCAGCCTTTCCTCACATGGCAGGCTTTCCAGTTCTTTGACCATTCTGTGGCCCTTCTCTGGATCCTCTCCAGCCTGTCCACATCTTTTTTTGTATTCAGGGACCAAAACTGAACACAATATTCCCAGTGAGATTTTTTTAGGAGATAGAGTTTTTTAGGAGACTGTATGAGAACTGAAATGGTTATCCAAATAACTAACTAACCAACTAAATAAATAAATAAATAAACAAACTGTAATTAATTGATGTGTGTCAAAGGTAATGGGAATGTAATGAGCTCTGAGGATTTTACTTCATAGAACAGGCATGCACACCACCTAGTGTGCCAGTTTCTTAATCTTCCTATTTTTTCTCAGTTTAGGAGAGATTCATTCCCCTTCTCTGTAAAAGCAGAGTATAGTCTTGTCACTGTAACTTAGCAGCAGATATTACGGACAGTGCTGTTTGGGTGGTAGAACTGCCCACCAGGCACTTTGCTGCAATTGCAGAGCCAAACTCAGGAACCTTCAGCCCCTCAGCATGATGTTTGGAGGCAGCTGTGGAGATAACTAGTGGGTTATATACTTGACCTCTATAAGTTGATTTGATTTTCACTAATGCCTTTTCTGAGGCCAGGATTTCCCTTTGGTTGCTTTAGTCAGAGCCTATAAACTTCCTTCAAAAATGATTACTGTGTGTTATGTTAAAGATATTCTTAGGGAGTCAGTGAGAATGAGTAAATCCCGTAGCAGTGAGCAAATGAAGCCACAGGTATACAGGGTTTAGGGTGATTATTTATTTATTTATTTGATTGTTTCTAAATCTTGGTGCTGTGTGACTGAAACAAACCTTCATTCTGTTGTGGTACAGAATTATCTCCTGTATTTATTTTTTTCTTTTTTCATTGAGTATTAGACTCCCTTAATTCTTGGTTTTGAAAGCACTTCAAGGATGGAGTTCTATTCATCTTGGGTGAATTTCTGAAATACAGGCAACATTACCTAAAAAATCTGCAGAAAAACTTTTAGAACTAAACTGTCTAATATGTGTCTAATGCATGTCTAAGTGAGGAGATCTAACACAATATTGTCATGAGCTGCTTGTTTAAACCCCTTCTGGTTGTATTAGGCTATCTAGATACAGGCTGAAGAAGAAAGCAAAGGAATTTTGTTGAGTTCAGTTGTCATCTTGATGTCATCTTGATGACAAGTGTGAAAGTAGAAGAAAAAAGCCGCAGAGAATAAACCGTTGATAAAAGACTGTGGTCACAAAAAGGCAACAAGGGATATTGCTTAGGATGTCTTCTGTTAGTGCATATGCCAAGTGCATGCTACAGTCTGTTTAGATGCCTGGGGCATGGATTTATTGAGACAAACATTGACAAATATTGTATTTGATGTCTGTGTAAGATTTAAATATTCTTGTATGTTTTCAAATTCCAAAGAATCAAGTAATTTGATAGAATGTTAAGGTTTAAAATGAATAGATTTGCCCCAGTTCTGTACTCCTCAGTATGAGAGAAATACAAAACTACTGGAGAGAGTCCGGCAAAGGGCAATGGAGATGATTAAGGGACTGGAGTGTCTGTCCAATAAAGAAAAGCTGAGAGAGCTGGGACCGTTCAGCCTGGAGAAGACTTGGGATTTATCAATGACTATAAAACCATGCGGGGGGGGGGCAAAGAGGACAGAGCTGGGCTTTTCTCAGTGGTGCCCAGTGACAGGGCCAGAAGCAGTGGACACAGAATGAAACACAGGAGGTTCCCTCTGAACATTAGGAAACACTTCTTCACTGTGAGGGTGACCGAGCACTGGCACAGGTTGCCCAGGGGTGTTGCAGAGTCTGCATCCCTGGAGATATTCCAAAGCCGTCTGGTTGTGGTCCCTGCAACTGGCTTTTGGTGAACCTGTTTGAGCAGGGGAGGTGGACCAGATGACCTCCAGAGGTCCCTTCTCCCCTCAACCATTCTGTGATTCTGTATGAATCGGTAAATACCTGTAGAAATTGGGGCTGAATTAGGCTTTTCTTTGGCTGCTTGCAAAGGAAGAGCTCAGAGTTGTACACTGACACCAGAGGAGATGCTGCAGGATAATTTAGTGTTGCCATCACCAGCTCTTACTGAGAAACCTGGCTCACTTGATTAAAAGTACTTTCATGTTCAAACATATATGATATTTTACAGGTAAATATGTCTGCAGAGTATCGTGACAGGTGCTGCAAGAATAAAAAACATGAAAATAGCAAAGTGTTTTTCTGCAATGATACTCAGGTAAAATTTAACTTCTGAAAATTTAGTTTAGACTGTACAGACTCAAGTGGGTTATTTGTACAGTCCGGTCCCTTAAAACTACATTGTGATAGAGAGTAATGCTACCTCTTAATAGTCAATTCATGATATTTTTTTGAATTTGGAATCATAAAATTTGTCAAGTAAAATGACACTTTACAAATCAAAATATGAAGAATTCCATATCCAAAAAATGCTTTTTTTTTCCTCTACTATAAAGATTATTTTATATTTTTAATCCAGAATAGTAGAGAAATCTTATTTCCTTATTTTATTTTGCCAACAGAAGTAAACATAAAAATTTCACATCTGTTTTCATTCTTCTACAGAAGTTCATATTAGCTAAGCTTTTCACTTCAGATCTGAAAGCCCTACTAGTAATTGTTTGGGCAGATCTCAAATGACAGAAAACACAATTGGCAGCTCTTGCTGCAGATTTTAACATGTCTTGATAACAGGACTGACTCTAAAAGTAATTCAGTGCTTTCCAAACTGCATCGGCTGATTTCCTTATGCTGTTATTATTACTACTACAAATTGATACTTTAAATATTAGGAAGAGGTGGCAGGTAGGTCAGATTAGTCATGTGTTTTATTGGAAAAGATTGGCACTATGAAAGGAAAATAAAGTAATGGCAACTAATGAAGCTTTTTTAGAAAAGACAGATCAACATTATAAAGAATTAAAGGTGCACAGACTTTTCACGACACATTTTTCTTGCTCTCTTTACAGGAAATAGAAGCACTACAGAGCATGGCATGCAACATGCTCAGATTCTTTCATAAGCAAAAAATCAGCAAAGACTTTAGATGGAGAGCAGCATTAGTTTCATGTGGGACATTACAAGTTCTACAGTGCAAATGTGAAAGACACAAAAAAGAAAAGGTGAGTGGTAGTGAGAACCTGCAGTTTACTGTAAGCATGTGAGTTACTAATTAGAGCTCTTCAGACTATCACATCTACCTCTCAAAGGTACAGCTATCATGAACATGTTACATGCATGATAAATTTTGCTCTGTGTAGCATATATATTGTAATAGATATTAAGCCCAATGCAAAGACTGAGACAATGCTCTGGAGGTCCAGAGTGAAGATACGTACTGTGGTTCAGTGCTGAAATGCCTGAGTTAATTCTCCCATAAAAGACAAAGGCCACATGCGAAGAAGGACTTTTAACTTCTCTAGTGTTTAAAATTATACTTCTCATTGGGGTTTTACTGTAAGGTGAATGTTTGATTTGCTTTGTTTCACCAAACAATTAGTGGGAATTTCTCTCACTTTCATAATACCTTTGAACTTTATTTTAACCAGAATATCTCAAACTCAACAGGAACAGCTGGATGTAAAAATATTTGGATTTTTGATCATTGGCAGACTCTGCTCTTTGACGTGTCACTCAAACCTAGTGACCTACAGAGAGAAGGAGCATTCTTTTAAGTGTGGCTCACAGTTACCTGTTGAACACAAAAATATTGACCAATGTCAAAAAGCCTCTCCACAGGTAGCAAAGGATATAATTCTTTATGACTGGCTTAAATAGTTGGATTGACAGCTGCATTTGACCCTTTCTTTTCTCCTTGAAGTGGAGAAACTGTGACAGTCCAGGACCAGATTTTCAGAGTAATGTTGGTGTCTACATTTTGTTTAGCCACCTATGGTGAGTCCAACATTTGCCTTACCATAAAAGTTATCCTAGTTACATCATAGAAGGCAGAGGACTGTCACCTTTGAAACTCATGCCAAACCTTGTGGATGCTTGGTTTCATTTAAAGACCAGTTAAAGTAATCTGGTACAAATAATGAACAGTCATTGAATGTGGACAAGAGCCACATCTGGGCGAGATCCTGAACACTGGGCCATAGCGTTGACCCCTGTGAACAGGTCTGCCTTGTTCCACCAGTCTCAAGGTACCACACATGTAGTCATATATTTCAAAGTTTGGCTCACAATTTAATTTGTTTTATTTTTCCAGTCCTTCAAATAATGGAGAATAAATTTTAAACCACTGACAGACGACACATGTTCTTAGTTGCTTACACTGGTTTCAGCTCTCCGTATTTGTCCGCATCAGTTCTGTATTCAGCTCTCCATATCTGTCAAAGCCACATTTTCCCAGTTCAGTAGGGCAGCAGCAGGGTTGTGCTCAGAGGGGGAACATCAGAGTAGTGCATGCTGTGTACTGCCAAGGCACATTCTGTAAGTAGCCCAGCTTTCTGACTTAGCTACTGTGTAAGGTACCTCCATTATTTATTGAGATGCAATGGAATCAGTTGGGTTTAAAAGACGTCTGTATGAAAAGAATAAGCACTTCTCAATTAACAATACAAGCTATTCTTTTTCAGGTTTGCACACAGGTAAATATGCATAATAATGATGATACAGAGACAGATGAACAGTGCAAAAAGAAATGTAACCAAGAATTATGTGAACTGAAGGAAAACATATCTAGCCTTCGATCCTGCTGGAATAAATTTGAAAAAATAATTTCCAGATGATTCCAGGTAGATCTTGGTCTTTTCTTCCAAAGTGGCATTACTTGGTGTCTTTGCATTTTATATGCATTCCTTGAGTAACTCTGCTCGCTTATATGAACACCCTATGCCAGAATTCTGATGGAAAGCTACTGTACCTTGTTCCTGGAGAAGGAATGAACAGAAATGGCTAAACCAAGCTGCTGAAGCCCTAGAAGTGGAAATAAAAGACCAGCATTTAGAACAAAGAACTTGGCAGAAGGCTGGATCCCACCTTCAAAAGCTCCTCTGAATTTTCTGATCTTTTGAGTCAGTTTATAATACTGTTGTATGAAAGCAATATACTCAAGTGTCTACTGCAATTTATAAAACCATCTTAGAAGCTTCAGGTGAAGGAAACGATATGGAAAGGTAGCTGTTTTCTTACTATCTACATAAAACACATCAAGGACCAAAAAGAGCAATTTGCCAAACAAGCAGCTGATCTGGGATCTGTTCTGCCGATGCAGTAGTGTTTTCAGTGTGGGTATCTAATAGGTCTGCAAACTGATTTAAGTTTGGAAAAATAAGCAAAAGGTTAACTTTATGAAAAACTTAGGAAGAGTACTGATTTTTGAGAGCTGTAGCAGACTTCTACTGGCTGTGAGTAGAGGCAAGACAGCGAGATCTGTAGAAGGTGAAAAAGGAGATTCCTGAACGTAAGTTTGTTCAGCTGACTGGAAACACCACTATTCTTGTGTATTTGGTTATCCTAGAGTTAGCTGCAGGAGGAGCTAGAATGTCTGACCTTCAGATTGTGATTTCTTGTAGGCAATTATTTTATATAATGTGTTCAACATGTTAGACATACATGACTTAAAATGTGTGAATATTGTCAGAGAATAATATATTGGCATTTAACTAATGAAGTGTTCATATTTAATTTTGGATGAATAGAAGTATTTTTATAGTTGTTTATAACTTTTTTGCAGTTTCTTATTTTGATATTATAACTCCTTTGGTAATAAAATATTTTCTTCTATGGAATTGGGCTGTTGTTTTGGGTGTCGTTAGTCCTTTTTAAGCTTTTTTTTTGACATTAAAAGCACAGCTGGTAATGTAACCTCCAGCTGCTTGGGACCTCCCATGATAAAATACCCATTTCTTACTTGCTTGTTACCTGGCCAGTTTAGGTAGACATTTCCATACTGGGTATCTACCTTGGACTAAATACTTCTGGAAATCCTTAGTTAAGTCAGCCTGTTGTTCCCTGGTTCAGAATAAGGTTGTTTTATCTGGTGAAAATAACTTTTCCACAGAACTGCTCTGAAAAATTTGTGGTATTCAAATAAAAGGCTTGAAAAATAGTGGGATGTGCTTCAAAGAACCACATACATCTCCCTTGACTGGCATAAGATCACTGTACTGAATCCATGAAACCCAGCGTGCCCTACTGATAAGGGTGAGGAAAGGTTAAAAGCAAAGTGAACATACTGTTACACTTCCCTGGAATACACTCCCTTCAGCCCCCCATGTATTTATGGTGAAGAGGCTTAAGGCAGGAGTAGGATCTTCGTAGAACTGTGACTGAGACTTTCACATACTCTCTTTAGCTCTTGATGTAAGAGATTACAACTTTAATTCCAAACACTGAAAAAAAACAACCCAAACCCCACCCATAACTCTTATGCAATAGGAAAGGGAAACAGATTTCCCAATATCGCACTGCAGATAGGAGAATGTAACCACAACTGTAAGGACTTCTCTATAAATCCTTTCTACTGAAAGAAGCCCTCAGGAGACTGAGGATTAAATTTGTGGGGTTTGGGGGTTTTTAGTTTTTTTTAAATTTAGGAACAGTCTAAAGCCAAGATGAATTTCCTAATAACCACTTGGCAAGAAAAGAAAAGAAAAACACACAGATGCAGGATTAGCTATTAAAAAACTGTAAGTCCAGTCATCTTAAATGACTTCAGCAGCAGCCCACAACTTAAATCTTGAATCAAATCAGGCAGTTTCAAGCCTATCCTGGGAAAAAGACCAAGGTTACATTCAGAGAAGGAATTTAAATTGACAGATTATGAAACTGTGGATTTTTTTCTGATTGCTTCTCTTAATGAATATCTTGCCTGCCTGATCCTTGCTGCCAAATTTTCTGAGTCACCACTTACATGCAAAGACTAAATGCTAAGTGCAGTGGCTTGTGCTTTTTGATTTATTTCTTCCTTCTGAAAACCTATCTCTGGTCTCTCCTGAAACTACAGATCTAACAACAATAAACTGCTCTGCAGGAATGGGTGAAGTGATGAAAACCTTGCAGGGTATCACCACTGTGCCTACCCCTCTGCCACTGTCATTTTTATATTAATTTATTTGGCCACAGTAAATAAGGAATATGACTAGGTCAGATTCATGATTTAGAGATACATGGGTTTTATGGGAAGGTGTCCAGAGAAAAATCTTAGGTTTTTAAATAAGTAAAAAGCTGTTGCAAGGGATTATGAGAAGGCAAAAAGGGGTGACTAACCCCTGCAAGCAAGCAAATGTTGCACATTTCTAACAGCAAGAATGAATTAGGTCGTCTGTGGTTTACGAGAAGGAAGAATTTCTGGTGGTTGGGAAGCCAGGTTAAGGAAGGTCACTGCAGTTCTTTAGCTAAAGATGCAGAAGTAAACCTCTTCTGGCTTGTTATATGTTTCCTTCCAGTTCCATCTTTTCAGGCTTATGCTGAACAGAAGAGACGTTTGCATTACAACAGGTTTAATTCAGCAGCGCCTTAGGTTTTTGTTGGGTTGGGTTTGTTTGCTGGCTTGTTTTCTTTTTTTTTTTTTTTCCCTCCTGCCCTTTAATTGGAATTGTTCCTGGTGAACTAGAATAAAGAGGAAACCAGTGTGTGGAATATCATGAAAACTCAGAGGTGACGGATTCTGCAGATTCTTGGCACATAACTAAATTTCATCCATAATGAATGGAAAATATATCTGCCTTCCTCTGAAGAGGGTGCGGTGAAATAAACAGAAAAGCCCAGTTGGAGGAACCTTCCCCTACCTAAAATGAGGAATGAAAAAAGGAATTGATCTCTACTCATCTGCATTTAGCAAAAACCCCACAATATCAGGAAACCAACCCCTTACTATGACTTCTGCTCACATAAGTGAATTTCACAGAAAAAAAATGTAACTTCTGCATTTTTCCTGCTTAATCATATTAAGAAAACAGTGCTCTAACCTCATGGAGAAGAACAACTCCAGATCAAGTTTGGGTTATGTATTATATATTATACCTTACAGCCTTATTTAAAAAAGTTGGGAAAAAGAAGAGATACAGTTAACTTTATACAGTCAGATGACACTGACTGAAGTATTTGGTATAGAGTAATTTTCAAGGTGACTGAGGAGTCTCATCTCATAAGTCAATAAAACCCCCCTATCCTTTGGAAAGAATAAATACTCTCTCCCAGCCACTAGAAGACGGGACGGTTCTCACATCAGGTCTGGTGTACTTGAGACCAAAGACATCAAAATATTCCTAGGTTGAAATAATGTTACCCCTGTGCCATTTTAGTTACGACAATTTCACATTTGACAACAAAAATGTACATCACAGAAAGTTTTATTGGTATATTTGCTTTATTGTTAACAAGCGGCAAATTAGCATTAGGTGGTGATTTACATTTATTAATTTAAACAGAACTGACACTTAAAAAAACCCATAATATACCAAATAAGATGCTAACAAACCCAGGGATTCTGAGAAAAAAAAAACGCAAAACAAACCCCAAACCCACTGGATGGTCATAAACACAAATATTCAATGTATGAGGGGCAAGGCAAACATAATAAATGCTAACAAAATTAATCCCCTCAAACACATGAATGAACACTTCATTTATAAACATGGAACATCAATAAATAAACTTATGAATATACATACTAAGTATCATATAAAGGATGAACACCATGAGTTACAGCAATCATACAACATAGGTGTTTGTAACAGGCTTAGAATACTCAACATTGTACACATCAGACCCAAATCCATTCACACTTCCGCCAGAAATACAGAACTATGGTAAACCATGCACTACCATTTCAAACTTCAGTTCAATATTCAGTTATATTAAACTGAATATTTGATTTGCTGACTCAAAAGTTAATGTTCACATTGGCGAAATATGATTTTTTCAATTGATTATTTCTGTAAAGAAGAAACACTAATTAAGAGAAAGTATGAATAAGCTGTTTTCTGGCAAGATGGAATAGAATGGGGCTAAGTAGGATTCTCCAGAAATCTGCATTCTGGAATGGCATAACAAAAAAACCCCAGTCCACTGAACTAGTATGAAAGAGTAATCACTTATACTGTGAACACTGGGAAGAAAATATCAACCAAACACTTCTTCAACAACATAATTAGGTAACTCGAACCTTACCAGAAAGTTGGAAAAAAACAAACAAAAACCCCAAACCATCAAAAGTTGGAATGAGCTGTACTTGAAAGGCAATAACACTATTTTCTCCAGAGTCACCAAAACCTGTTTACCTGTTTACCCTGTCATACTACCTATGTAATTATTCTTAGCTTAATCAAACTGGAAAAACTTAACGTTGCAAAAAGTGCTCTTACAAAACAGATTTGTCAGCCAATATTAAAAGAAAACTTTTAACAAGTTGTTCCTTGCACATATACAAAGTCTGTGTGCTGGCATCTACACTTCTGGAGAACTTTGCGATACATAGACAATACCACTTCATTTTATACTCAGACTAATTACATAGCCTACATCAGTGTGTGCTGCTACATGCTTTATTAGCATTTAAACTACTGCAGCCACACCTCCTTCCACTAGCTTGTTCAGTATGCATCACAAAACTGTCCTCTTTGCACACTGCATTTCAGGCACTAACTCTCTCAGCTGCAATGGTGAGGTAAATGCTCAATGACTTGCTCAGCCCTTGGAATCTATTTGAGAACCATTAGCCCATGGACCCTGCTACCTGCAAGCCCAGGGAAGAGCTGGAGCTGCAGGAGGCTGAGCAACACCAGCACCATGGAGAGCTCCCCACTTCCCTCACCCTCTAACGACTTCTCAAGCCTCAAAACTCTGCCTATATGTTCATTTTGTAGGTATGAGCTGAAATGGGGAAGTGCTTCCCCATGCCCACCTCCCTGTGGCGGTGTGTAAGACTGAGGGCATAACTATCCACATAACCATACAATTAATTTGCTGTATATTTAGAGATTCCAGTTCTGAAACTACCTAGGTAGTGAATATCATGCATAAATATAAACCTGTGTTAAGACACATCATATAAAGATTAAACCTTAAGCTATGTTGTTTTTATGGCTGAAGCTGGTATTTTGCATAACTCCATTGCATTTACACCAGTTCAAATGATCCTGCACTTATTCAGGCACAGACGTATCCCTTGTACAACAGGCATCACAAAAGCAGAATGGGAATGCAAACACCCTCAGGCCAGACTCCCAAACAAGCCTGCTCCTTGTTCCTTTAAATGGATTTTACCTTTGACTTTTTCTCTTTTTTTAATTGAAAGGAATAACCTTAGTAAGCACATTAGGAAGGTACAGTGGCAGACAGTAAATCTGTCATAGTGTCAGACACTGGTACAGAAATCATTAAAACAGTCACATCAATAAATTTCACTTTAAGTGAACAGTAACTACATTAGCCTACTGCCCGAGCCTTCGTAATCCTCCAGTAGCACTTACTCCTGTTTTGTATAAACTCTGCTTTAGTGAAACAACTTTTTACGTTTGTGCAACTTACCAGTTCTCACAAAACACATGCTTGCTCACACACAGAGAACTGGAAATACAGATGCTAAATTAAGTAATCACATCACCCTAATTTTACACATGAACTCTAAGGAATTTGGGCTTTTAAGGTAAATATCTGTCAACAAGGCATCCAAAGAATGACAGTAGCTAAGCTTAGACTCATCAATGAAGTGTATCAGTGGTGCACAGTTTGTCTACCAGTTTTATCTTCACAATTAGCAACATTTTGACTCTTCAGACATTTTGGAACACTCCCCTTTTAGGCTTTCTCCTGCCATGAAAATCAAGGTATAAAAGCAGAAGGAGGGCTAGGGAAACAGGTTTTAGTTTTAGGTCATTAATGTACCTAAAAATTCAAAATGCAGAGTCCATGTCTCTTAACAGATTATCTTTTTCTCTATATAACAAATTTGTTCCCCATATTCAGTTCTGCAGTGGCATTATGAAAAAATATGAAAACTATTATTTCCTAACAAACATTCCATTGTGTGGTAGCACATTTCTCCCCACTGGGCTCCTCTACAATTTCACGAATTCCCATCAAGCCTTGGCCTTCCTGTAACGGGTTGGGTGCTCAAGCACCTGTATGAGGCACTTTTGCAGGAGAGGCACTGGCCATATCTGGCACTCCTGTTCCCTGGCCAAGGTCAAAAAGAAAGGGCAGAGATAATCAGTCATCCCCAATAGCCTTGGGATATTCCTTTCCTTGAGCATAGCCTGAGTGGAACAGGTACCATTGTTACTGGAGTGCTGAAAAAATTCTAGTACTTACCAACTCAGATTATGGTCAACATGGAAATTTACTCCTGACTAAAGCCAATCATTTCATGACCATATAAACAGTGGTCCAAAGCCAGGCCCTCTGAGCGCTCCTGGACTGCAGTGGGCTGCTACCAGCATCTCTCTCTGAATGGGATGCCCCTCAGAGCTCATGCCCAAGTTTGTGACAACTAGAAGACCATCACAGACAACAAATGGGAGATGGCTGAAGACTCCCCACTTCTCAAGGCTCAACCCTCTGCCATTTAGAAACGCAAAGACATATTTCACTGAACTTCAGGGGAATTTTTAATGGGTACCTTTATATGTCTCTGTATCTGCATGTAAATTGACTGAGACACCACATAACAAGTGTAGCAAACACTAGAGTCCTACTGACAGTGCAAAATATTAAAACCGCAGACTGCTGCTCAGTAAAAGCTGTGTAAAAATCCCATCTGCGGTGAACTGGCACACACGTAAATCTTCAGATACAAACCATTGACCAAGTCTGTGATGAAGACCAGACTTAATTACACCTAAGCAACACCAGTTTACAAAGCAAGGGGATCCACTCTGAACCTCTTGACTCAGTCTTACCCTTTTGTGCCTTTGGTCTCTGTACTAATACTTATAGCTTGATTTTACCTTCGTTTTCCTTGGTATGTTTTATCCATGTAGTAAGTAATGGAGTGAACCTTGCCATCAAATTTTGTTAAGTCACACTCTAATAAATTCATATTAAAGCTACTCTTCACAATAGTTTTGATGGCAATTCTTTGAGTAACCCTAAACCACTAACTGTATGACACATTGAGATGGAACTAGAGCAATGTGTGCTGATATTTTGTGTAATACAGTCTATGGTCTGTAGTACCAGAGGCTTCAGAAACCTATGTAATTCAGTAACAAAACCAGTTGCTAAAGTGGAAAAATACAAGGCTTCTGATAGTTTCACTGTACATCAGTAAACTGCATAGTCAATCATATTTTCTTTGCTTGTATTTATTGTAGGTTCAAACACACACATTATCCAATGTTACTATCAACAGTTATTTATGTTTCACTAGACCTTTTTGTAAGAACAAATTAAAAGTTCAGGAAATCTTAAAATCCTTTCAATTCAGGTTAATCTCCCCTCTAGTCCTTGCTATAAACCATAGAAATGTAAATAACATAAGTGATACGTCGCTGGAGGAATTTACTAAATGCTACACCGGAAGCAGAGACTTACAGAAACAGCTCAGAAAGCAGAAATTATGGTAACTGTCTTTGGATTGATTTGAAACTAAGAAACTTGCCACCTACAACTCACAGGACAAACTATCAATGTTTTTTCTACAGTTACAGCAATCCTGGAAAACCTAGAAGGTATCTATTTCTTACTAGACTCTCCCTTCGCAGCAAGCATTTTCAATAAATAGTAAAATGCATTTTTCCAGCAGAAACAAGAACTAGGAAGTTCATCAAGTCAGATAAGGGATTTGGTTTCTCAGTAGATTCACTAACTGATCCAAATTATTCTGGATTTTATCTTTGCTGATGGACACTTGCTTTGCAGAACTCCATGGCCCAATTTTCTAAAGCAGGCTTACTTACACAAAGGATGCAGGATTCCATTTTTTCCAAGTACAGATATGCATATGCCAAAATATTGATCCTAAAACCTAAACTACCTAGAGCACCATTTAGCTGTGATTTGTCAGTTCTAAGTATCATTACCAGTCATCCACCTATCATGCTCAGTTAATGAAAATGATAATAAAACAAGACTACGCTAATGAAGGATAATTTCTAAAAATAATTTTCTATAAAAAGTGTAAGAAATTTCCACACCTTTGAACTAATTATAAACAATCAATAATTTATGGCCTGCAACATGACTAGTCAAGGCTCTCAAATCTCCCAGCTTCCAAGACAGGAACCTGCTTTGGAGATGCTTTTCTTCAATCTTGCTTTCTTCAAAATTGGTCCCATTGATAGTAATCACAAGTTTTGAGAATTCAAACAATGATCCTAATACTGTCAGGGAACACTACATTATATTTTGCATAAGCTACAAAGAAATTATATTAATAGATACCAAAAGTGTTTGAGAGCTGAAAGTAACCATTTCTGAGTGTATTTATTGTGGGAAAGGCACAATCAAATTCTTTCAGATTGTTCCTGCACACATGACTAAGATGGTGCCAGTACTTTGAAGCAAAACTTCACAAAACAGTTCACTACATTAAGATACAAGTTATGTGATGTGGCTTGAATGGTTTTAATATCCGGTTTAATTTATAAAAACAACAATAAGAACTTCCAGGGCCGGACCTTTCTTCTCTATGAATTAATGCAAAGTCCATTACTAACTTCAAGAGACTGCCATTCAGAGCCCAGGAACACAGAAAATAGCAAAAAAATCCACGTAAAGTATTAACACATTAACCTGTGGAGCACAGTTTCTCCATCATGTGCTCGTATCTGAGCTGTGTTTCTTGAACAGGAATAAGAATAAAACCCAGTCACTGCTTGCATCAAGTTCTACTTCTCCAATAACACAATTTTTTTATAGAAATCTTTTTATTGTATTGGATACATCAAGAAGGCTTGTTTCCAAAACAAGAGTTCATCATTTAGGTAGGACAAGCATAGGCTTTGTCTTTCGTTCAAGAAATGAGGGAAGAGAAAAAAGGAGCAAGACCTTTGGAAACCTTTAAAGGCAAAAAGCACAAAACATTTAGATATGCTAGTCATGGTGGGGCACAGGAGGAGGAAGACAAGTATTTCTGAACAAAAGGAACTTAACAAAATGACGATACCATATGTTTCCTTATAAATACATAAAAGTATTTATATGTTCTGATTTGAAAATAGAACATGAAAAGCCACAAACAATCTTGCTTTTCTTACATGTGGACAGAATTCTCAGGTAGTTATTCCGTTTTGATTCTTTAAAAAAAATCCTAGGAAGTCCAATTAGAATATTACTATTAAAAGAGTTTAAAAGGATCCAGACTTGCACTTTTAGCTAGGAATTTATAAGGAGTTGCTCATATTGTTGTCACTTAGCATAGCATCTAAGTTGCTGTCACATCTGAAGGTAGTATTTTCACAGAGAAACTTCTGAATCCCAAGTTTTTCCATGGCTAGTTCTCTACAGGTATTATCCTACTAGATAAAGAATTATTTACATCACTTATCTATTAGGATTTAAAGAAAAATAACACTGAACCACTTCTGCTACCTAAGTTACTTAACACATTTTTACCTTAAAATTAAATATTTCCAGAGATTAAAGAGTATTTCCTTGAATGGCACAGTTTTAGGTACCTGCTGTTTTTATATACAGTGTGTATATATATATATTTCTTTATAAATAACTGTGTAACCAGAAGATTGCACTCAGAACATTACACTATGATGTTTTAACATGTTTGCAGCATGAAGTCTAACTGGAAGGAGTGCTCTAGTTTTCCATGCAGCAGTATATAGAAGATGCTTCCAATTTCTCATTTTCTTTTTACGTTTAAGAATGTGTTCACACAACCATTCTTCGAATTCCACACTCACAGCAAAACTTTGCCCATTCCACTGGATACCTTGTTCCACATTCATGGCAGAACTTCGATAAATGTACAGGTGAATTTCCTTCGCTGCTTTTTGAACTTCCATTGACTGAGGATGTGCAGTCTCCACTGTCATATCCAATTTTACTGTCAGACCTGAAAATGCCCAGATGAAGAACATTCTCTGTAAGTCAGTTCAGTATAACTCGATACAAAATTATTCTAATCCTTGCAGTGAATTACTGCTATTGTTACTGTGATCTTACACTTCCTGTTTATTTACAGTGGCATATAACTACAGATTCCCCTACTTATCTCCAGATATTCACCTTCCCTGCAAGAAAACAAAAAAAATATGCCAAAAATTTAGGACTAGGATCTAGAATTTAGATCTAGTGAAATCTAAATTAAGATTATTAATTAGTAAGATCTAAATTTAAGATCTAAATTAGGATCTATTCTAAATTAGGATCTAATCTAATTATATCTAATTTAGGATATTTGATTTGCTAGTTAGATTAAATGGAATGCTGGAAAACTTAAAACTCAGCTTGTCAAAACAAGAAAGGCTAAAATACAATACAGCAATGCAATTTTTATCCTACCCTTTAAAAGGGCAGACAACAGAATTTCTATGCTTAGCATGCAATGTAATTAACTTTCAGCTGAACCACTCATCATTTGAAGGACCATTCACTTATTTTTTTTCAACAGCTCTCCCAAGATGTTTTTGTCATTTCTAACAGTCTTGCATGCACACCCAAGACAGCTGATGACAAAGGTGTTGTTAGATGACAAATATGCAAGATATATTCAGTATATTAAACATGCTCAATAATATTGATTATGAGTTATCTATTAACTGCAGAGAACAGTATTTTCCCTAATTTCTTTTGTAATAGGTACTCCCCTTTAATTAAGGTTCTATTGCTGACAAAAATCCACAAAATTCAAAGGTACCTTGAGTAAATGTCGGAATTGCTAGTTTTTCTTTTGTTTGTTAGAGCACCTGCGCTCACGGTTCTTGCTACACTAGGAGGGGTTGATGTCCGTGGCTTTGTTGCACCTCTAGTACACAAAAAACATCTGATCATTTATGTATACACAAAAATACATGCAACAACATACATTTACAAATGGTAAAAAAAAATAGTTCAACAATCTACACATCAATTAACTGCATGAAAAATATAACTTGTTTCCCACTAGGAGCAGACAGTAGAGCTCTGGCATAAACTGGCATGGTTTGGACTGAATATGACTTCAGTCTTAGAATCAGAAACAAAACAGAACAGCAAGTCCCTTCTCATTCATGTGTTTTACTTGCTTTCACATCAAAATACAGGTAGATCCTGCAGTACTGGTGGCTTAGTATATAATGTCACCTTGACGAACTATGAGTCACTTTTTAGGACTGGCAGGGCTTTCAGAGAAATATAGAGCAGCCGACTGCACATCTTAAAAGTTAAAAAACGTAAAAAAATAAAAAAATGCAGAAGGAAGACCATATTCTCAATATTTTGTGACCAATATGAAATGAGTCACAAAACTCTTTTTCGTCATAGCCACCGACTTTATTTAGGATGCGCACTTCTTAGATAATGCTGTAGATCCTCTTTCTTCAAAGCATAAATAGTGTATTTATAAATAGGAGGAAAGTCTATCCAGCTGTGCATTAGGGCCTATTTTTTTTTCTAGCCTATCACAGTGTTCTTGAAATTGGCTTCAATAGTATGACCACACTGCTATGAAAGCTGCTTTCCTCAGAATCGTGGGTTTTATGAGAAGCCAGTATGCAATGAACAACACATCCTAAACATACAGAACATCTCACTACTTACTTGATGACTACTGAAACATCAGAATTCCCTGAAAAATCTGAGTAGCACTAAAAAAAGAAAGATTGGAAGGGGCATCCTTTTATCATCAGTGACAAAGTACAGAATTTTTCATCACTGCTCAAAAGAATTACCATTTACTGGGATTTCTTCTTCAGCAAGGCTTTAGTGACTGATATCCTGTGAATGACTCACCAAGTTTTTCTGTTCTCATTCTTGGAACACCAATGCATAAATGAAATTTAAGTTGGGACTGCTCATTTCACAACAATAAACAACTTAGTCTTGGTTTGGGTTTCAAAGCATATGGAAGAAAATGCATTCAACTCCAGTAACTTCAAATGAAACACTGACACAACTGAGGAACAATGTAAGAACTCCTGAATTTTAGACATGTTGCATAAAGCATTTCTTCCTTCATGTTTATGAGCATAGATTAAAGATGGCTTTTCAGCTTAAGTGGAAACACTTCAGGGGAAAAGCGATCAAATTCACTATGAAAGTTGAAATCAGGAACTAAATTTAAGATTAAATCAAGTGATATTATATTTAACTAAAATATTCAAGTTTAACAAGAATGGCTTCTACATGTAACAGGTAGAGTGGAAGCATCAAAGATTCTGACTCACTGGGCAAAACACCAACCTTCTCCCTTAGTTTTCCTGTCTGCCCAACTTCTTTTGCAAAGAGATTCTAAAGATGGTTTCATAATTAAAAAAAAAAACCAAACAAACAAAAAAAACCCCAAACCCTGAAAAGGGCTACATAAGTTATATCAGAATTAAACTTATTAAAAGTTACGTCTTTCAGACATTACAAAATTCCAGGATAAAAGTTCTAAATGTAACCTAAATTACACTGTTACAAGTATACACAACAGTATAGATACTAAATTCTCCATCTTATGTTATTTCCCTCATCTGATTTTACCCTGAAGAGAGAACTTTGCTTATAATTGAGTAAATGTCATTAGAGCTCAACAGGGGAAAGGACATTCTGTACTGTTACTTTGTTAAGGAAGCTGGAAAAGCATATAAAGAAAAATTCAGCTGTAGACACAGAAATGGTACAGATCATGACGGATTGTAGATGATCAGACTATGATGCAAAGAACAGAATTGTGTCTCAGCGCCTGTTTAGAAAATTGCAAGTAATTTAAAACATTTTTTCAAAAGTATTATTGACTCAGTTTTCTCTGGACTTTTTTGGGGGACAAACACATTGCAATTAACAGCATTAACTTCTTAAACTGAAGTCTCTTCGAGGTGTACTTTGACTCAATCATTTTTAAACATAATACTAGGAGTCCTAGGTATTTGACACAAATTGACATGAAAAAAACTAAACACTATTCTTTCTTGAATTTCAACTGTTCAGTTCTCTAAAACATATGTAATATACCCTCATCCCACTAATTACTCTGAAAATTCACCTGATGTTTTAATGCTAAGTATATACTAGAGAAATTTCTCAGAAATCAGTGTCTTATATACATGATTTGTGTGGCATCTAGTACAGAACAGAGACCACTGACTGAACCAGGAAAAAAAAAAAAAAACAAACAAAATATTGAAAACCCACATTGAAAGTGCATTGTTTACCCTGTCTATTGAGGGAGGCAGAGTCCCACAAAGAGATAAAACGTCATTTATTAAAGGTTTAACACGATGTCTTGATTCTTAAATATTTAAAGATATCTTACTGCATAATTTCTGCAGACTCTTTTCCTGAAATAGCTTTCTAAAAATAATTAAAAAAAAAACCAAAACAAAACCCCAAACATATTTTTAGATTAGAAGCTTTAATACGAGTCTTACAGTTAACTGCAATGTTTTCTGAGATTTCTGATAAGTAAATCAGCAGAAGTAGCAGGCTACCATGGTCTACAGCTTTATTCATCCCAGATCTAGACACATGATTAGCATTAGGTTTCATGCATATTTGATGACAAATCTTGAAACTGCATCCTTAAATTGCAATCTAGTCTCTTGAGACAGATGTTTTTCAACAGAGTTGGACATTCTTGATTATATGAACCTCTGCCACCACAGCTTGGTCTCTTCCAGTCTGTCTAACCTCTGTCACTTCTATTTACTTGCCTAGTTCTGTTGGTTTTTTGGGTTTTGGTTGAATTTTTTTTTTATCTTTTTTTTTGCAAAGTTATATAAATTCCTGTTCTAAGTTGTACCACGTGAAGTATTAATGGAGCCTGACAACAGATGAAGCTGTGTAACAATGCCACCTTGAATTCTTAAAATCTGGACATACCTTTAAAGATGTTTATTATTCATTCTGAATTTCAAAAGAAATAAGACTGAAGGTAACTTCAGCTCATGTTGTACACCTAGCTGAATTACGACTGTTTGCAAAATGAAAAGCCTTCTCTATTTATGCATTTGCAATTTGGTTGGAGTTTGCAATAATACGCTGAAGTATCAAGCTTGCTCCCTAGACAGGACGTTTTCACGTATTCTTGACAGTTACCACTGTCACCCACAACAGCTCATAGTTCTGTGCAAAATAATAAGTAAGTTCCTTATGACTAATGGCATGCATACCAAAGCCCAGAAATCATAAACTGTGACCATCCACATTGCTATGCTGAGTTTTACAAGGGTCAGAAGCTATACACATTTGTCAAATGCTGTTGGCATGTATCCTGGGTTCAGGAGTAGCAGTCATGTTTTTTTCCTTTGTGGTAGCTGGTGCAGTGCTGTGTTTTGACTTCCAGCCTGAGAACAGTGTTGGTGAAGCCGATGTTTTCAGTTGTTGCTAAGTGATGTTTACCCTGACCAAGGACTTTGTGAGGCTCATGCTCTGCCAGGGAGGAGGGGAAGCTGTGAGGAAGCAGAGACGGGGCGCCTGACCCGGGCTAGCCAGGGAGGTATTCCATACCACAGCACGTCATGCCCGGGGTGGGGGGTAACTGGGAGTTACCCGGAAGGACACGGGCTTCCGGGTGGGACTTGTTTTCTTGGCCGGTGGTATCGTATTCTCTTCCCTTGTTATTTTCCCTTATCATTGTTGTAGTTGGTAGTAGCGGTGGTGATTTGTGTTGTACATTGGTTGCTGGACTGTTCTTGTCTCGACCCGTAGGAGCTGCACTCTTTCGATCCTCCTCCCCGTTCCTCTGGGAGCGGGGAAAGGGAGAGCCCCGGTGCGGGGGGGGACGGACCTCGATTGTTGTCAGCTCGGCACCACTCACTGGGAGTGAGTGAACAAGTTACCTGACTGGGTTTAAACCACGACAGTTCTTTTTTGGAGGGACTTAATCAACGCTAGCTTATGACCTGCACTTACTGGGAATTCCTCGTTCATGGGGAACAATTGCAATCCCCGATCCCCATCACGAATGGGGTTCAACGGGTTACCCGCGCCTGTCGGGGGAGGGTAGGCACAAGCTGAGCCAGTCAGTGTAGCGCGCGTGCGGCCCCGGACATCTAAGGGCATCACAGATCTGTTATTGCTCGATCTTGGGTGGCTGAACGCCACTTGTCCCTCTAAGGCAAATCTTTTAGTCTCTATTCCTTTCCTAAAAAAATAATATCATCTTTGCAATCTGAGCATTCAGTTTGCATATCTAAAGATTCATACAGAATGTCTTCAAAAATTATTTCCCACAAGAAATGATTAATTCAGTGTGGAGACAGTGTTCTCACGGGAGAATGCATAATTGGTACATAAACTCTGAATAGTCCTGAAAGATACAGCAAGGCCGTGAGAGGCCCGAAGAAGCTTAAGCAAGCAAGATAAGAAGAAGCTGGAATTCACTGAGGTAATGAGAACTGTGGATTCTCCCTGACTGTCTTTCCCAGCAAATTCTTCATATGCACCACGGGAACTTTGTCCCCCTCTACAATATGTAAAAGTTCTGACTGGGCTGGGCCAGCCCTGTTGGCAGATCCTCTGGTGTTGACCAACCAGGTGGCCTTTGGTAAGTGTGTATCCCAATGCTTGAAAGTTTTCCCACCCATTGCTCTCAGTGTAGTTTTTAACAGCCCATTGTACCGTTCGATTTTCCCAGAGGCTGGTGCACGGTAGGGGATGTGATATACCCACTCAATGCCATGCTCTTTGGCCCAAATATCTATAAGGTTATTCCGGAAATGAGTCCCACTGTCTGACTCAATTCTCTCTGGGGTGCAGTGTCGCCACAAAATGTTTCTCAAGGCCCAGGATAGTGTTCCGGGCAGTGGCATGGGGCACAGCGTATGTTTCCAGCCACCCGGTGGAGGTAGGGGACAATCGGATTTACTGGACTGTGTGGATCAGATGGCCTGGCACATCAGTCCCACAGAAGTATAAGGCTCTAGTAGATACCGGTGCACAGTGTACCCTTATGCTATCAAGCTGTCAAGGGGTGGAACCCATCTATATTTCTGGAGTAACAGGAGGATCCCAAGAGTTGACTGTGCTGGAGGCTGAAATCAGCCTGACTGGGAGGGAGTGGCAAAAGCACCCTATTGTGACTGGTCCAGAGGCTCCATGCATCCTCGGCATAGACTACCTCAAGAGAGGGTACTTCAAAGACCCAAAAGGGTACCGGTGGGCTTTTGGTATTGCTGCTTTGGAGACTGAGGAAATTGAGCAGCTGTCCACCTTGCCTGGTCTCTCAGAAGATCCCTCTGCTGTGGGGTTGCTGAAAGTTGAAGAACAACAAGTGCCAACTACGACCACAACAGTGCACCGGCGGCAATATCGCACCAACCGAGACTCCCTGATTCCCATCCATCAGCTGATCCGTAGACTGGAGAGTCAGGGGGTGATCAGCAGGACCCGCTCACCCTTTAATAGCCCCATATGGCCAGTGCGAAAGTCTAATGGAGAATGGAGACTAACAGTAGACTATCGTGGCCTGAATGAAGTCACACCACCATTGAGTGCTGCCGTACCGGACATGCTAGAACTTCAGTATGAACTAGAGTCAAAGGCAGCCAAGCGGTATGCCACGATTGATATTGCCAATGCATTTTTCTCCATTCCTTTGGCAGCAGAGTGCAGGCCACAGTTTGCTTTTACTTGGAGAGGTGTCCAGTTCACTTGGAACCGACTGCCCAAGGGGTGGAAACACAGCCCTACCATTTGCCACGGACTGATCCAGACTGCACTGGAACAGGGGCAAGCTCCAGAACACCTGCAATACATTGATGACATTATTGTGTGGGGCGATACAGCGGAAGAAGTCTTTGAGAAAGGGAGGAAAATAATCCAAATCCCGCTGAAAGCCGGTTTTGCCATAAAACGGAGTAAGGTCAAGGGACCTGCACAGGAGATTCAATTTTTGGGAATAAAATGGCAAGATGGACGTAGACAGATCCCCACAGATGTGATCAACAAGATAACAGCAATGTCTCCACCAACTAATAAGAAAGAAACGCAAGCTTTCTTGGGTGCAGTGGGGTTCTGGAGAATGCACATCCCAAATTACAGTTTGATTGTAAGCCCTCTCTATCATGTGACCCGGAAGAAGAATGATTTTAAATGGGGCCCTGAGCAGCAACAAGCCTTTGAGCAAATTAAACGCGAGATAGTTCATGCAGTAGCCCTTGGACCAGTCCGGAGCGGGCGAGATGTAAAAAATGTGCTGTACACTGCAGCTGGGGAGAACGGTCCTACCTGGAGCCTCTGGCAGAAAGCTCCAGGGGAGACTCGAGGTCGACCCCTCGGCTTTTGGAGTCGGGGATATAAAGGATCTGAGGCCAGCTATACCCCAACTGAGAAAGAGATACTGGCAGCCTATGAAGGGGTTCGAGCTGCTTTGGAAGTGATTGGCACTGAAGCACAGCTCCTCCTGGCACCCCGGCTGCCCGTGCTGGGCTGGATGTTCAAAGGCAGGGTCTCCTCTACACATCATGCAACTGATGCTACATGGAGTAAATGCGCTGCACTAATTACACAATGAACTCAAATAGGAAATCTCAGTAGTCCAGGCATTCTAGAAGTCATCATGGACTGGCCAGAGGGCAAAGATTTTGGAATGTCACCAAAGGAGAAGGTGGTGCGCGCTGAAGAGGCCCCACCATATAATAAACTGTCAGAAAGTGAAAAGCAGTATGCCTTGTTTACTGATGGGTCCTGCCGTATTGTGGGAAAGCATCGGAGATGGAAGATTTAATCTCAGGGTCGTGGGTTCGAGCCCCACGCTGGGCGCCAAAAAAGAACTGTCGTGGTTTAAACCCAGTCAGGTAACTTGTTCACTCACTCCCAGTGAGTGGTGCCGAGCTGACAACAATCGAGGTCCGTGTCCCCCCCCGCCCACCGGGGGCTCTCCCCTTCCCCGCTCCCAGAGGAACGGGGAGGAGGATCAAGAGAGTGCAACTCCTACGGGTCGAGACAAGAACAGTCCAGCAACCAATGTACAACACAGACCACCACCGCTACTATCAACGACAACAATGATAAGGGAAAATAACAAGGGAAGAGAATACGATACCACTGGCCAAGAAAACAAGTCCCACCCGGAAGCCCGTGTCCTTCGGGGTAACTCCCAGTTACCCCCCACCCCGGCCATGATGTGCTGTGGTATGGAATACCTCCCTGGCTAGCCTGGGTCAGGCGCCCCGTCTCTGCTTCCTCACAGCTTCCCCTCCTCCCTGGCAGAGCATGAGCCTCACAAAATCCTTGGTCAGGGTAAACATCACTTAGCAACAACTGAAAACATCGGCTTCACCAACACTGTTCTCAGGCTGGAAGTCAAAACACAGCACTGCACCAGCTACCACAAAGGAAAAAAAACATGACTGCTACTGCTGAACCCAGGACAGCATGTAACATACTGAATAATGTCCTGTAAAGAAGGCAGATTTAATTCATAAACTTAGCAAACATTCAAATAAGAACAACAGGGAAGTTATGAAGAGCAGTAAGCACCCATACTCTTACAGAAGTTCTCTCAAGAAGAAAAATCAAATCACTGCACTATGGATAGGAGCTATTATAAGCACTTTTAGTTACTCAGACAAATTGTCAGCCATCTTATAATGTACTATAAAATGAAAAACTGACCCGATTTTTGATCGTTCACAGGATTTATAGCTCTAGCCCAACATGCAAAAGAACAACACCCCCCCCAAAAAAGATACCTAAAAGATATCTAAAAAGATACCACCCCCCTTCATTCCTTTTACTTCTTCAAATAGAAAACTAAGTTCAAATATTCCAGCTCTGTCCCAAAGATACTTCAGCTTTAGTTACAATACTAAAATAACAGTAAGAGATTTAATCAAATTTCTACTATCTAAAGCATTACATTCCATGTATGTGTCCCATAATTCCTTACTAATCTCTCTTTTGCAATATTCTTTAAGGTATTGTTCATGAAGAATCAACCCAATTGAATTTGGCATCTTCCAAATTAAAATAAAGATACTATATAGTATCTATTTCCTTTTTAAAAGATCAGAATAAAATTTCTTCCAAACTTAGATTTCTTCCAAACTAGCTGAATATTCAAAAGTCTTTATAATAAGTTGGACTTAATAAAATGCTGAACATCTTATTACAAAGTCTTCCCTATTCAAATTCTTACAGAAGACAGATAAGTATTTGACTTTCAGAGAATAAAATTACTTTGCCATAAAATATCTGCCTGTAAGGCATTTGTATAGTTATCAGGCTTAAATGCTTACTTCAGCTTTACGTCATTCAACAGTTTTATCTCAGGTTTACAAAGATAGATGTTCTTTACTTTTAGTTCATAACCAGTAACAAAAGAAGTCAATTCTGGTAAAAGTCTTAATATTTCCTCTTCTACTGTGAAGCTGTTTACTTAACATAAAACAGATGCTTATACTAATTACATTATATATTCTTCTCCAACAGCATTATATGGCAGACATCCTGGGTGACAGATGTCTGCCAAGGTAATACTTTCACTATTCCAATGCTTTAGAGGAAGATTCTGCAAAACAGATAAACCACATTGATTTGTAATACTTACTTCTTTATAGGCAACAACTCATTTGGTCTTTTGATGGTACTGTCTGTTTTTGTATCAGTGTCATAAAACCTTTGCACATCTCTTCCAGTTCGCAGCGGTAGGCCTAACTTGTCCATCTTACTACTAAAATATATAAAGGGGTACTCATAAGGAGATTGCTAGATTGCTATTCAAGTTATCGCAAACAATTTAAAGTACTCACAATTAAATACTTACATTCCCAAAGAATCCCCACTGACTAAAATAATGTAGAAATCAGACTTTAATAATTCAGCAAACAAAGAGGTGCTTTTTACTTTGAAGAGGACAGGATTTCATAGACTTATATTTGGATTAGGTTTCCAATACATACTTTTTTTAAACACAAAACGAAAAACTAATGTCAGTTATCCTCACTATCTGCACAATGCACTCACATTTGGCCTTTTTTCTTGTCAGAATAGTTTACATAATGTCAAACTTCTCAAGTAAAAGGGGCTCATAATTACAAGCCACAGTAACTTTATGAAGATGTTAGGAAATAACAGATGTAAGTAGAAGCCTCCTTGACTTTTAGAATTACCAAGAAGGAAATTTTTTTTTTTTTTCACTTTATTTGTTAAAGGCTGAACATTGTGCCCAGAGAGAATAACATGCCTTCCATTCTCTTTTCTTTTATGGAGATGAGAAAAGAACAGAAAGCCTGAAAGAAAAACACCTTTGTTTTAGTATTAAAAAAACTCTACTCACAATAGACAGTATATACACTTTTCTATTATTATGGGTAACATTTTCAAACCAAAAAGAATAAACCAAACCTCAAATTTTAAAAACATTTTCTTGGGGTTTTTTTTTTGTTTGTTTGTTTTGTTTAAAACTAAACAAAAAATCCCATACCACCATCCCTTCCACATATCAGCTTAAAGAAAAATTGTAGCTTTTCAGAAACCACAGCTTATATTAGGAAAATTAGATCTTCAAGTAAAGTTCTGCATTTCTAGCATCTTACATCATACACTAAAAACTGCATAAAGCCTATTATATCTCCAGCCCTACCTCAATAATATAACTGAAATTTCATCTCAAGGAAAGCTTAGCAACTTAACCCTGAACTGGAAAATGATGACACTTAAAATATTTTTTATTGATCTTTCTGAAATTAAAGAACTATAAAAGAAACAAACCAAGCAAGATTGATGGAAATATCTGGGTAGCTGAAGCTTAACTATTCTGCAACCTCCCCACCCCTAGAGGGAAATCAGAAGGCAAAACCAAAGAACCAAAACCAACAAAATGCATCTTCCCACCAAGAGAAATAATTTCTTGTAATTACTCTGCAGTTTTCTGATTCTTATCATACAACCTTAATAAACTACAATGCCAGCAAGGCAACAGCTAATTGCTGTCAAGGAAGCATATTCTTTTCAATTTAGCTTTTAAAATAAAAGATACAACCATAAAAAAAAAAGTGCTTGTGTACTGCTGTATCTCCAATACCTGTATCATACTACTTTTCATGCTCTTACAACAACATCGTATTAAAAAGGAAATAACCCATCAAGTTTGCTACATAATTTTTTTCAGAAGCTTCTGGTATGAACCTTGCAATCCACATCTCAAAAGCATTAAATGAGATCTTCCTACCCTCAGAGTAAAGAGTATCTTCCCAATATCTAATCTAAATCTCCCCTCTAAGTTTAAAGCCATTCCCCCTTGTCTTGTCACTATATGCCCTTATAAAAAGCCCCTCTCCAGATTTCTTGCTGGCCCCTTTAAGTACTGGAAGGCTGCAATAAGGTCTATCTGGAGCCTTCTCTTCCCCAGGCTGGACAAACCCACTCTGTCAGCCTGTCTTCACAGGAAAGATGCTCTAACCTATGACCACTTTTGTGGCACTCCTCTGGACTCCAACCTATCACACTTTTCTTAGCTCTTTTCTGATCCTTAAACAATTTATCAACATGATCTGTAACTTCAGGCACCTACAGTACAGAATATTGCAGACAATAACCTAGAAACAGTTATGATAAAAATAAAGAGCTACAGGATTCTTCCACTCTTCAACAAAACCCAAACCCCCCAAACTGACAGGTCTTTCATGTACTAATGAAAAAAAAAGGACAATCAGAAGAATCTTATTAAATGCAAAGAACACGAAGACAACTTCCTATTTACTAGATTTCACTGAATGAAGCTGTGTAAGTTAGAGTTTTAATGAAAAGAATAAAATGTTTACAAAATACATTTTTAAAGGCTAAACATGCTGTAAGGCAAATATACAAATGGAATTTAAAATTTACAGATACTGGTTAGCTGTGCTATTCACGTTGCATTTCAGCTGTAAGACGGTACTAAATGTATCACTAATAGACACGATTCCCAGGAGGATTAACTTAGATCAGCTTAACACTAAACAGGATGTTCCATCCCCAAAATAAAACAAAAATGACAAAGTAATTTCTAAGGGTTCATTTGTTATACTGAAAAACATCACATAATTTTCCAAGTCCCAATTGAAAAAACACCATTGCTCATAAATGAGCCATGCACAGAAAATTAATTTGTACATGCACAAGATCCCTGACTGACCACAAACAGTGGTGTCAGGTTCTGCTAGGCAAAACAGTTTACACGTGGGGGTGGAGTTTGCCCGTTTGCCTAGCCTCAGGATAAGATGAATGTACCCAATTTTTGTTTCTGAAAATCTGATTGCATCTGACAGTTTACTAGAACTGCCCTGCTCCTCAAGAAATGCACGATAAAGCTAAGCTTCATATTCTTACAAAATATGTATCAATCTTAAGATCTTAACATGATTCACTCTTAAAATATATGCCTAATCACAATTTAGGTAGAATTAATTTTCCTTTTTCCCAGTTCTTCAGCATCAAAGAGTGTAAATCCTACTTTCATGCAAGTGAATGAAGGTTTTACTACTCACTACAATACAGAGTCACATGCTACTCTTGCACTCTTATTTGATTTTCTAGGACTCAGAAATAATGCCCTTTTGCTACACTTCCATTAATACTTATAACTGTCTGTGCTTATACTCTGTCCAGGCAGAAGAAGAAAATTCTCACTGCAGAGCTCAAATGACACATCCTGATATATGCATACAGAGTAAGCATCATTAACACCAACCTAGCTTATACTGATGATGCTGTGGTGTGCTCTCTCAGTAGTCCTTTACTTGGGGAGCAGAAGAAAATCCAAATTAAGAAAGGAAATAGTATAGCAAAAATTACTCACAATAAGGGAGTTCATAAATTTGGTTTCATTTCTTCTCACACAAAATAAAAATGTATACTGTAATATTTAAGTTGAACTTCATATAAAACTAAGGTCAAGAATCTTTCCTTTACTGAACAAAATGCCTTAGAGACCCAATTCCTTCTAGTCTTCACCTTTAACATGAAAGCAGGAACTGCTTCATGTGCCCGTCCAACAGTTTCAGGCAGCAGTACAAGAGTGCCATCTAAAGAGCAAGAGGGAAACTGCACGCATGTATATTTTAATCACTTTTGGTTCCAACATTAGCCAGTAGATAATCGTTTCTTGCCCCTTTGCTTATGCAAAGCAAACAGGTATCATGAGTCTACAGAAAGAACCAATGTCTGACTTAATTGCTTCCCCTCTCCCTCCAATATTAATCTTAATTCTACTGTTAAGCCGCTCTATCTGCCAGATCAGGAATGACAACAGTTAGGTTTCAACTAATTAAAATGTAAAAAAAAATAAATAAAATTTTCCTTAGGGACAACTGCAGGAGCAGATATCATGCTATGGCTTCTCATTTTACTGGTTAACTTGCAAACATAGCAAAAAAAAATACATCATGTTCCATTCTAATGAAGGCTATTTTTATAGATTTTTAAAAGTGTTCATTTTTTTTTTAATAATTCTAGCTGCAATTAGCTATAGCCTATATTATAAGATGTTTTAATGTTGAAAATCTGTGTCACAACAAACTCCCTCTCCAATTTAGGATATTGACTGTTAGTGTCTCAGTCCCTGCTCTCACAGAATTTTGTAGGTATTTCAACGAAATCCTATTTCCCCCTCACATCCTGGGGCTAAAATGATTAGGGCCAAAATTGTCACTAGTAACCAATCTAAGTCACCTAACTCTTCCATGTTGTAACTGCTCCTCTTTGCTTCAATGTAGCTCCTGACAAACCTCAGAAATGAATACAAACAAGGTATAAGAAAAAGAAAGATTGTTAGGTCTCACCTAGGAAAAACACATTTAAACAGCCCTCTGCAAGAAGACTAATACATAACCAGCAAGGAACCATAAGGACTGGCTGGCAAAGATGAGAACACATGTTTTTTAGAGCAGAAAAGCGAGGACTTCAGGCAGAAACACACTCATCTGTACTCTTAAATATGCGAGGTTATAAACCAAGCTACATTAACTGCCTCTCAGGCAGAGACCATTACCTGAGAACTATGCCAACTAGAAGCCATCTATTTGTGGTTAACGTGTGAACAGAGAGAATTTGCGCAAACATGTCTTCAGATATTAACTACTTGGTTTGATCATGTTGGTATTCTTCAAAGTTTCAGTAGAAGAAATGGAAGACTACAGAATACGAAGTCCAATGAGCAACTGTCTAGTAAAATTAAACAGAACTTCCTTGTTAAGAAGTTAAGACCAAAACCTGTGACCTCTCAATAAGTAACACAGACTGCAATTTACTCTCCAGCAGGAAAAGGCCTTTTCCAAACAGCTGGGATTCACCACTGGGGCCAGGAACATGCCTTGAAATGATCTCCCCTGACTTTTTTACTGTGGTTTGCAGACCTACTCTTTTTGCCACTCATCAGTAGGTGTTAGCTTCTGAAAATGGAAAAATAAGATATAAAGATATGGCAGTGCATAACAGAGGGTGGGATTTTCTGACAGTTGAAGCATAAATACCTACAAACAGCAGTAAAGCTGATCCATAGACCAAAGGCTCCTATGACACTGGAGGGAATAATAATAATAATCATAACTGATAACCTCACGGACTCTACCTCCAGTCTGTATTTGAAGGAGTGGGTAGAGCAAGGAGGGACAGAACTACATCCTCATGTGACATGGTATTAAGAGGTGCTGTAGTTCATATGTGTGTGTAACTTGTAAGACTTAAGGGCAATAAACTAAAAATCACTAGTTTTGTGTGATTAATAAAGCTGTCCATCCCCATGAGCTCTTTCAGAATGTCCCTCTTCCTCACAAACTTAAGTCATTGTTTTTCTCCACCTTCTACAGCCTTTACCAATCTGATACTCATTTTTATAGGAATAAGCCTTCTTCAATCACCAATGTTACAACTGCAATCACTGTTTTGTATGTTTTCTCTCGGTACTCCTCAAATTTCTGCAAAATTGCACTACTTTTCTTCAATCTCTTCAGACATTTATTCTTTGAGATAGTGTGTACTGACTAACCCCCAGCAAAGTATCAGTAACAGCCCTGATCACACCAGCACTTTCACTGAACTCTAATTACATACATCTGCCACTTTTTGTTGCTGTTGTAGAGCACTGGTATCCATTGCCTTATTTGTTCTCACTCACTTCTTGTCTCTTGAGTATTTTAAAACAGGAAAGGGAAGAGGGAAAGTATCCACCCTCCTGTGCTAAGAGGGAAGATCCTGTCACAATTTACTTGCGGTCTGTGGCACAGACCTCTTTTATAATTTCCATGAACTGCAGGAAATTATGCCTTATGTTTCCCCCTTAAAGTCTTTTTGCTTTTACAAAAAGAAAAAAATACAGCTCCAACTATTTCTGCATATTCTATAACCTTTAAATCTACTTTCTATTTTTCTCACTTGACCACCTTTGCCGTTATTTGAACATCAGAAAATGTATCTTCACCTACTTCTATGTTCCTTAAGCATTAATTGTGTTCATAAATTAAGGATAAACTAATAACATCACACTTCTGAAGCTCACAGCAACAAAAAGAAACAAAAACAAAAACAAAAAAGTAAGTGAAACAGACCACAAAGACCTCCAGAACTAGCAAAACGTAAACATAAAATAAAGTGTAAATGACAACATTAAATGGAAACTTACCCTGCTTGTGAGTTCACCATTCCAAATGAGTTTTTATGAACTGGTGACAATGTCTGAACTTTGCTCCCACTGGATGCAGATGAGGATAGTGCTTTACCTGAAGAGGCACCTTGCAGTTGAAAGCAAGCACGGGATGATACAACTCATTATAATTTTTTAATATCAAAATTCAAAACAAGAGTTTTAGAAATGTCAAGATATGAACAAGTGTCAAGATACTACAAAAAAGCAAGCATGTTTCCAGAAATTTGTTCTGCATATATTCCGTTTAATTATAATATTCTATTCTAATAAAAATATTGCACCTCAATTACTTTCTTCAGAAAGAAAAAGGAAGGAAAAGAAGTCTAGAATGTCAAAGTGTGTACAGACAGAACATGTCTGATACCTAATGATATCTGAAATTGGAATAAGACCAGTGTTAGCATAATTATAATATACATGGCTTTTATGTTCATGTTCATAATCAGAATCATATTCAGCATACAGATTAGTTACAGAATTAATCAACAGAAAAATATCAGGTGAGAGACCAGTATTCAAATTTTGCATTAGGACACAGAATGATTCTGCAGGTTCAATTCAGAAAAGAAAACAATTTGAGCTGATAAAACAGAAGATAATCCTATGTGCTTAAGAGCCGCATTGGGCAGATGCCGATCAATGCCCCTTCCAACTTCACTATATCAATTTCAACAATAAGTATATATGTAAGTAAAAACAAGAAATATCAGGTCACAAAACCATTGGTTAAATTTAAAATACTGTTATGAAAATCAGACATTATCTTATCTGCTCGTGTAACACTGAACTCCTATGAATATTTTTACTTCATCAGTTTAAATTGCTGGGTAATGCTGTAGAGATCCTTCCAGATATTAAAATATATTACTTTTACTGCATAGGTTGAGAATGAATATTTGGAAAGAAACTGGAAAATCTGTAACATTCATTTCATACCTAGAACAGTTTTGCTACCACCACTTGGCTGTGGTAAGCGTGATGATGATGGTGGTGTTGATCCTACAGAAGGCATCTTCTTTACTGCGGGTGGTTTGTACTGTAACAAAATACAACCTAGAAATTTAAGCAATTAAATCAAACTATCTATACAACACAATAGGTAGTTATCTCGGGTATTGTGGGAAAACAGGTACCTATTAGCTACTCAGTATACTGTTTCTGGTAGAGGATCATGCGAATGGTTTCCACTAGTCTGCTTTATTATACATACAGATGATACTAGTAAGAAAGATTATCTCAGTGGTTATGTATTTTTTATATATGTCTATTTTCTGCTTTTCTCATCTTTTTCCATAGCTGCTCATGAGATTAATTAATTAAAAAAAAACCAAAAACACAACAAAATAGAAACAAACAACCTCCCACAACACACAACCCCCCCCAAAAAAAAAAAATCAAGGGCACAATTATTTTTGTCTGTCAAATTTTACTTTCACCTGTGTTCTCTGGACCAGTCCCAGCACTGATTCAGAATACAGTGCAAGAATCTCTGAGTAACTGCTAGTGTCTATTTAAACTCTTCACAGCTTCCATAAAAAAGTGTACTGCCACCAAATGAAAACACACATACACTTTAACCCTTAATTTGTTTCCATTGTGAGTTAGCTACTGCAGCTCTTACCTTAATATGCCTGAATTCCTAAGTTTCTTATTAGCCAAAATATTGCTGCCAGTTGTCCTGCAGTAGGACATGTACCTTTGTCCACTTTATGAAGACTCCTGAACTGGGTTCACAAAACTTGGACAACAGAAATTCAGCTTTTTTTTCTTTTTTAACAAATATTGTGTCCCTACCTCCTGCTGCTACCCTTACCTGTTGTTTTCACAAGTCTCTGAATTACATTTATGACTGGTTTTGGTTTTGCAGCTGCTGCCATCTGATTTATGGATCTCTACAACTCTCATAAGAAAGAACCTCTTCCATGCTTAGTGTCCAATTTCAGTCTAGCACAAGTAATAGCATTACAGAATAAAAAGGTTAATTACATTTAAGAGCAATACACCATTTAACAAACTTGATTTGATGTCGAATACAATCTACAAGTTAAGGAAAATGTCATTGTTCACCTGTGTTCGAGCAGGAAGCTTCCCTTTGGTATCAGCTGCCAATTTCCCCTTATTAGTAATACGTGCTGCTTGTTCCTTACAGAAATTGATGTGTCTGTCAGCTGCATTTTCATTAAATCTCCTCTGACAATATGGACACTGAATGTAATCTTAAAAACAAAAAACTAACTTTAATGTTTTTTAAAAGAAACTGGTTTAAAGTCTTTTAAAGACCAGCCCCACCCCCAGAGAAAACTATAGCCTCTTGAACCTGAAAATGAAAAATATGCGTTGCAAGGGAAAAGAACATTGCCCATATATAACACAAAAGATGTTTTTTATTTGATGGATAAGAACAAGAAGAGTGGCTGAAGATCAGAAATAACCTAAGCAAAATCAGAAACACTTTTAGAAATGCAATTCAGCAGAGAAAGTGGCCAAAGAGATATATGGATGTGGCAAGGTTATCAGCTGGAAGGAAATGGAGAAGAGTAGAGACTAAATAAAAAGAAACAAGCAAAACCAAAACTAGAAACCAAAAAAAAGCACCACCAAAACACCCCCCACATCACAAACACAGTTCATTTTTCTCAAGATATGAAAATACATTAAAACTTTTCCCATACAAACAGCAAAAGACAACAAAACCTGTTTCCTCTAGCAATTTTGAAAGGACTAAGAAATACTAACTGCAATATTACAAATTATTATTAAAGAAAAAAAAAAATCAGAAATCTAGCAACAAAAAAAAAAAATCATAGGAAATCCTTCCAAAATTAGGAGACAACTACAGCGACACGCAAAACAGGGCAGTTGGTGGCTGTATTTATTATTTTTCACAATTAATTTAGCCACATTAGGAACTATTACTACTAACATTGGGGAAAAAAAAACAGAAAGGCCATGAAAGTGTTTAAAGCACTCAAAGATCCCTCATCTGTATGCTCAACGTATACCCCTTTAGATACACTGCCCTTGCAAAGTAAAGTATTCGGGCTGCAGCTTCAGACAGACATTTTAGTGTCTAGAGATATGGATGCTGAATTCCCTAGTTTACAGTATTCAAAATCATAAACCATGTAAACAACTTCAGAAGCACTGGACACTGATAAAGCAGATTAAATCAGCATGTTCCTAGGTGATTTTAGAAACATATCAAAGAAAATGAGGATTCAGTCACTGCCTCCAATATTACATTTAGATATTATACAATCCAAAATAAAATTTGTATTACATTATACTACAAATGCAGCAGATCTGGCTTAATTACTTATCCTTTTAAATTAGTTATTTACTACTTCAAGTAACTAAAATTACATAGTGGACACCAAACCACGAACTGTGACCCAGGAAGCGTGAGCAAAGTACACAGGAAGAACACAGGAATCCATCAGAGAAGTGACAGGATGGGAATCTCATGTGGTAACAAGAAGGATTTTTTTATTTATTTTACGTAAAACTCCACTACCACCAGAATACTCAAACATAAAACTAAACCTTTAGAAATAGATAGGGCCAAAGTTTTAAAAAAAAAAAAAAAAATCAAAAAAACAGAACAGATGAATAAAGCAGCTATGGAAGCCCCTAGATAATAAGTAAAGACATTTCCAGCTGTCTTACGGCTCAATTCCCACAGAAGAATTTCAAAGCCCACTTAAGTAAATGGATCAGACTGTAGAGGATTAATATGGACTTTTTCAAGAATCAGAGATTGTATCTTCCTTATTTTGTAAGCTGCTTAGCACCAGTCAGCCACCTGGCTATCTGGAAGTACTGTTTGTACAGAAGAACTGTTAGGATTCAATGTAAGCTTTATAAAATACAAACTAATCAAAATAAAGCACAATATACATATGCAGTCAAGTTCAATGCAAATGGGGTGACATAAGTTCCTTCTTAGTATCATGAGGCTATTCCATTTCTAAAGAAAAGGTTGGAGATCAAAGAACCAGCAATATTGCTTATTTGCAAACTGAAAGCACGCAATTAAGTATGAAATATCAATACAGAACTTTTTCCTTTCAGGAGAGAAAAAAAAATTTAAAAAACTGACCAGTTAGAAATATGCATGCCAAAGTCAGCTAAGTAGGAAAGGATGGATATACTCCATGATACCGTGCATAATTCTCCTTCACTCCTACATGTAAAGTGGAAAAGGAGCAACAGTAGCTGTCCTTGCCCTATATTTTGTTTGGTTTGATTTGTAAGAAGAGAACCCACTGATTAATTCATCTTATCTTCATTCTTCCTCCTGAGTTTTACCCACTGCAGCTGGATGAAGTCAGGAGACTAAAACTTGTAAACTCGGCTTGGAAAAAGTAAAAAACCAGAAGGAAGAAGAAGCAGCACAATATCTTTCTCTTCCCTCTACCTCCTATCTGCTTTCAAACGGCCTGAACAGAGTTAACTTCCCTCTCTTAAAACTCATTGTGATGTCTGGAACCAAGGAAGCACCATTTTAGTAGGTTTTCCAAGCTAGATTTAGTTCTGGCTGTTTCTGCCTAGATTATTAATGATCCTTTCCATGATTAAGCCTTATATTCCTTATCTACAACATCAGCTATTGGTTTTACTTTACTTTAAAATGCATATGGCATTTCAAGATAGCATGTATGACTGCTGAATATTATGATTTCACTTCTTACTATGAATTCACAATTACAATCCTAATACTGGGGTAATGAGTTTCCTGTGGAGAAACAAGGTAGGGAACACTCCCATCCTCACTTGACCACAGGCAGAAGCAAAACACATGCTTTTTTCTGGTTTTCCCAATCCTTCTGAAAATAGCCATTGAACTGATCACGTAGTTTAGCTCTTAGGACAAGAGCAAGAAATATATTCTTCAACCTATTATAACATTTCAAAAGTTAACTGAAAAGTATATGTCTTATTCACTCACATCAGACTGTATTGACACTTTATCCAGCCTCAGTTCTGAAGGCACCGTTATTAATGCAAATCTCACACATCTCATGTCCAAAATGCAAGTACCCCCACCTTATGAGGAAGGATCAAATGCACACTAGAGCATGTACCGTACACATGAAACTAAATGTGAGTTCAGCAAGAAATGGGAGACACTATACTTGAAGAACACAGTCAATGTGCATTCCTACAACGTAAGTAGGTTGTTGGTGTCCAGTATCTAATTAAAAAGGCAGTCTGTTCTTTCTGAGCAGTTTCACTGTTGTGGACAGAAACAAGGTGCTGAAACTGTTTGTCCAGCATATGATTTATAAGACAGTAGCAAGCTGTAAGTTGCCCTTAACTATCTCTTGATTCGTTAAAACAGTCATAGGCTTTGAAAGCTCACAGGATGGTAGCTAACCAGACCCACAGTCACAAACCAGCATCTGCATGGGGATAATGAAAGTTATCTTCAAGAACTTGTGATTATTGTATTCCAACATATTCCTTTCCAGTTCAAATTTTTATAAATTAAGCGGGAAAAAAAAAAACACAAATCTCTAAAGAACGGGATTGTTTTACATACCAGGGTCATATGATGGCGGAGGTGGTGGAGGCAGTTTTCCACCATCTTTAAGATTAAGTCCTTTGGCTGCTCGTATAGTAGCTATAAATTCCTCATGCTTTCGTCTCCAGTTGGAAGGTTTTTTGGGTGGTTCTGGCTAAGAAGCCAAAAAAGAAAGAGCTTTATATGTTTGAAGCTCTTACTTCAAGCTGAGTACGTGCCTTATTTTAGTACACAACATTATAGTTCTATTGCTTCTAGATCCTAATTTATCTAATTATCACAAATCACCAGCAGAAATAAGTTTTATCATAACGCATACATAGTTTTCTTAAAATGTTCATATGCAGAGTAAATAACGTACCCGTGGCTTCAGAGGTTTTACTGTGGGAATGTCAGTTCCTTCTGCTCTCTGTCGGCTGGAATCAAATGTCTTCCTTTTCTTTGCAGAAGTTTTTTGGCAAATGGGTCCATGCTTTTTCTATAAACAGAAGAAAACCAAGGAGGATACAGAACTTAGCTTTCAACATAAGTTATTAACATATTCTTTCCCTCTTTCTCAATATGCCAATCAGCAAACAAGGCCCAGCTCTTCGTAAATCAGATCAGGCTGCTTTCACTCAAACGTCTATGCCAGCCATTACTTTTAAAGCGGAAGTACAAGAATCCACGACTGCACACACATGGAACAAAAATCTGAGCAATGAAAAATAGGGAGCATCTGTATTTGCCCCCTGAAAATAAAAAAAGAACAATAATAGGTAAGCAGCATTTGCACTGAGTGCTGTCTGATATCCATATGCATATATTTAAGGACAGCCCAACTTCTATTAAGCCTGAAAACCACAGTATGTTGAAGATGGCTACCAAAACGCTCCATTTACTAGCTGAGGCTGCATAATGCTAGGACTTACATCTGCAGAGGCAAGCAGTAATTCTGTGACCCTAGAGAGGATGCTTTCAGAAGCATGTATTTTCAGAAAGTCATGGGAAGCTTAAATAAAATTAAATTCCTTCTAAGGAGCTTCAAAATTGAAACAAGTGGAATTTATAATTATTTGGGGAAAAAAAACCCACAAAACAAAAAACCCCACCAAAAAAAAAAAAACACCAAAACCCAAGCATCACTTGGTTTCTACTTTATTTAGCTACAGTGACCATTGCTTAACTCTTGTATCAACTTATCAGATCTAAAAGCCAACAGTGCTCACTTACACTACTTACCAGGGCTGCTGGAAAGAAAGTCCTTCCACAAATCCTACATGGCAGCAGATCTCCAGTTTGCACTGTAACCTCATCTTAACAAAAAAAAAACACAAAAAAACAAAAACAAACAAAAACATACTTATATTTTCATTCAAGATAAAAATTTCTTTCCAGACTGGTAACCTCATATAATTCACAAAAGTAAGTTATTACTGTAAAAGTATACATTCTTTGAACTATGCAGAGATAAAAAAGGAAAATATGAGAGAAACTGTGTTGTTTTCGCACAATTGAGGATGGGGCTTTGCAATATTAAGTCTTTATGATATTAGAATCATAGAATAGTTAGGGTTGGAAAGGACCTTAAGATCATCTAGTCCCAATCCCCCTGCCATGGGCAGGGACAACTCACACTAAATCATCTCACCCAAGGCTCTGTCCAATCTGGCCTTGAACACCGCCAGGGATGGAGCATTCACAGCTTCTCTGGGCAACCCATTCAAGTGCCTCACCACCCTTACATTAAGCTTTCTTCCTTATACCCAACCTAAACTTCCCCTTTTAAGTTTTAACCTGTTGCCCCTTGTCCTGTCACTACAGTCTCTAATGAAGAGTCCCTCCCCAGCATCCCTATAGGCCCCCTTCAGATACTGGAAGGCTGCTATGAGGTCTCCACGCAGCCTTCTCTTCTCCAGGCTGAACAGCCCCAACTTCCTCAGCCTATCTTCATACAGGAAGTGCTTCAGTCCCCTGGTCATCCTCGTGGCCCTTCTCTGGACTTGTTCCAACAGTTCCATGTCCTTTTTATGTTGAGGACACCAGAACTGCACACAATACTCCAAATGAGGTCTCATGACAGCAGAGTAGAGGGGCAGGATCACCTTCTTCGACCTGCTGGTCACGTTCCTTTTGATGCAGCCCAGAAGCTTCAAGATCAATATTAAGGCTTTGCAATATTGAGATATTCCAATACTGGGGCTGGGGCTAAGTTACTAAGGGAATGAAAGAAAGGATTTGAGATACCATAACTTAGAAAGACACACTCTGTGGTTAAAGACAATATCATCTCTGGATGAAAGATACACTCTATGGTTAAAAAGAATACTGTCTTTGTATAACCTAGGAAAGTAAGCAGGTGCAGGCAGGTTAAACAGTAAGTTGGGGTACCACATGTCTGCCAGAGAGTTATGAAATCAAACTGTAAAAGGAGATAAATAAGAGGAAGGGGCATACAAAAATTGAGTAAGGGGAGATGTAAACAGAGGCGAGACACTTAACATGCAGATTGTATACATCGGATAAGCTGTAAAACTTGGAGTGCCCAACCAATGGGGAAACAAGGGAGGGAACCTGCGGCCAGGAGAGGAAATATAAATCATAGTTCTCCTTTTGCTGTGTGTGCCTATTTGCTAGGACACCCTTTTCTGCAAAAATATTAATAAATAGCTGCTTCACTGCTGCATCTAACCTGAGCTTAAGTTTTTATCTAGAGACCGTTTCTCAGAAAGAGATGATACACAAGTTACATGCCCAGTAACGTGTCACCATAAATTCTGCTAATTTACAATACAAAACACTGCACCTTTAAAAGGATGCCTGTATGTCAATATGTAAATGGCAAATTCACTGTAAGTCACAATAACAGCCGAAATACATACCAACAATAATGGTATTTAGTGAGTATTTCTGTGTCTTTCGAAGAGAATCACCTGTTACAGTATCAGTCACATCCCATCACTTATTTTTTCTTTAAGTTAAACTATTTCATTTTCTCTTGAAAAGTAAAAAATCTTTAATCCTATTTCTACTCTATTTTATGCAGAGTATCACTGACAGTTTACAAAAGCATTTCTGATGTTGCTATTCAAGCAATGGTAAAAAAAACCAAACGGTATACTTACATGCAACAGATTCACAGAACCAGATAAAAGACCAACAAATCAAAATAGCCAAGCCTATGCAAGCAAGTATATTCATATAGTATGCATTATGCAATGGAGTCGTGGCAGAGACTAAAAAATTCTACATGTTCTCCCAGTAACTGGTATCTATTGTATTTAATACTGCACCAGAGGGATAACTGGAATATTTTTATATCACATATTGTCCTGGGTTCAGCTGTAACGGTTATTTTTCTCCTTCCTAGTAGCTGTTGCAGAGCTGCATTTCAGCTTTAGCCCACCAAAAAATGCTGATACCACACCAATGTTTTAAGTGTTGCTAAGTAATGCTTACTCTGCTCAAGGACTTCCCAGTCTCATGCTCTGCCAGTGAGGAGGGGCACAAAAAGCCAAGAGAAAGCAGAGACAAGACACCTGCTAACTGATACCTAACCCGACCCAAGCAACGATATCGCCCTTCCAGGTAACTGCCCCCAGTTTATATACTGGGCATGATGTGCTGTGGTATGGAATACCTCTCTGGCTAGTTTGGGTCTGGTGTCCTGTCTCTGCTTCCTCCCAGCTTCCCCTCCTCCCTGGCAGAGCATGAGACTCAGAAAGTCCTTGGTCAGAGTAAACATTACTTAGCAACAACTGAAAACATCAATGTTACCAGCGCTGTTCCCAGGCTGAAAGTCACAGCACTGCACCAGCTACTAAGAAGGAGAAAAATGACTGCTACTGCTGAACCCAGGACACATGTATTTTAGGCAAACTAGTGGCTTAAACTAATGAAGTTATGAACATAGCAACATTCAATGATCGTTCATCAGGGCTTTTTTCCAGTTAATCAGTGGAAAATAATTTTCCATCTAAACATACATACTTGTCAATGAAATGCAAGATCAGTCCTAAAGAAAATTAATAATTTAAAAAAATGTTTTATGGCAAACAAATGTAGATTCAGGAAGTCATGGTTCCCACTGAAAACATTTTATTCCAAATGCAAACATTAAAACAGAGTGAGATTTCCAGTATCAATATGTAACCATTAGGTCTGTTTCTACATTTTCAATTCCTTGAATGACATTCATCATCAGTTCATAACTACATATAATGTATCAATGTATCTAAAAAAATTAGATGAAATCTGTTAGATGAAATAAATCAGAATTAGTGATCTCAAACAAGTGTATAGTATAAGATTAAGAATTTGACCAAGGGAAAGATTCTTTCAAATACCTGTCTTCTTAAAAAAAAAAAAAAAAAAAAGGCTACATTTTCCACCATTTTCTTCTGTTCACTAATCTCTGGAATTCAAGCTTGTGCTTAAATTCACCATTAAAAAGAGACTTGATAAAAGCTCACCTGATCGAGCAGTATTTATATATCACATAACAAATGCTAATTAGCACTCACTGCAGCTACAGTTACCGAGGTAGATTTTCTTACAGCATTCCTACCCTCCTTTGCTGCTGGCAGCTACCCAATCACATTTGCCAAGAGCTATTTCTACTACCACACCTCCTCCCCATAACACAAACCACTGACCCAAAACACAAAAGGAAGTTGTTTGAAAAAATAAGCTCTTTCAGTTCTGTTGAAACTGGGAAGCCTACAGACATATAGGTTTGCACACCTAGCCTTTCAATTTTGAAATCATTCCACTTTGATTTTTCCCCACCTTTAAAGTAAAAAAATAAAATTAAATAAAAAATAAACATAAAACCTTAATATTTCTCTCTAGGAGCCCATGAGCCTTCCCTAACAGAAGGGTTAGCAAAGCCACCAACATGAAATCTGAATTAAAAATAGATTTGCCAAAATAAATAAATTTAAAAATAAAATTGCCAAAGTTGCAGTAGAGTCGGTTTTGGTGTGGGACTGTGGTTTGGGGATTTTTTTCTGTGTGGATTCTGGTTCAGGGTTTGTCTTTTTTGCTTTATTTTGTTTGTTTGGTTTTTTTTTTTAATGCATTAGATATCATGCACGAATGCCACACCACTTCTGGAACAGAAATTAGTAGAAATGGTTGTTATGTTGGGGGAAGGAGGTTTAAATAAAATAAAAAGAAGGAACATCAAATCAAGAAACAGAAGTAGTATTTGCTTGGCAAACGCATCTGATAATTGAAACCGGTAGTAAAATAGTGTCATGGTAATTTTCTTCAGCCTTCTTCAATTATCACAACAATGCAGGGATTACTATCATTTTGGTTATAAAACCACAGAAGACTCAAGATCCAGCAGCTATGCCTCTTTCTCCTTTTACTGTCTTTAATACCACTAATCACTAGCACTTAGCATGCTTTTATTAAACCTGAATGAACATAGTTAACCTGGAAGGGGAGAGACATAATTATTACTGTTATCTAATCTAAACACACTTAGGGAAAAGAGTACTATGTTCAGAATGGTTACATGAATACCAAAGAAAGGAGTAGTATTTCAGTTGAAGTGATGCCAAAACTATGATATATGGCTTTACACCCTATTCTACTGTCTGCTCGAGACCAGGTCCTAAATAAAAACACAAGAGTACAACCTGGTAAGATGATGGGTATCCAAATTAAACAACTAGATTGGAAGTTTGATTAGCAGCACTATAGTTATCTCATAGCCTGTGTTTCTAAACTGTCCCAGCCAGAGCTCCTCCTCCAGCCACTTCTAGAGTACAACCTCCTTCCAAATCATGCTTTTCTACCTACACAGAAGTTATCACACACATTCCTTTTGAATATGATCACAGTCTAGTTACCCATACTTTCTGATTTTGAAGTTGGAGTTTAGCTGTGAAGTTTGGGTGGACCTCAAAGTCTGACAGCATAGCCGTACAGTCAGTCCCTCAGATGTAGCCCACTGCTTTCAATACTCATATGAATTCAGATCTCCTCAAAACCTAGATTTCTACAGAACTATTGCGTTTTTTTTCCTCTCTCCTCTCACGTTCACATACAGCAACTGATTTACAGCAGAAAGCATAAGTTGCCAGTTCTCAGATTTATCTTTATCAGTACAATATGTGGAACCCATCAATACATACAAGTTGCATCTGACAGTCACAGGCATAAGGCTAGCTCTTGCTATCATGTTTACAAATTAAGCAGTTGTGTAAATAAACTCCACACCTAGAGGGAGCAGAAGTCTTCAGACAAAGATGCCACACTGCTTAGCAACTGGCAGTATTTGCCATGCTTTGGTAAAGTCTACTTG